CACTTCATAGAAAAATGACAAAAGATTCAAAACTCAGCTGCTAGACTTATTCTAAAGGCAAAAAAAAAAAAAAAAAAAACCTGATCACGTCACACCACTACTTCATTCACTTCATTGGCTCCCTACTGTGCTCTTGTTCTCTCTCGTCTTGACTATTGTAACTCTCTTCTGTCAGGTTCACCAAAACACTTCATAGAAAAATGACAAAAGATTCAAAACTCAGCTGCTAAACTTATTCTAAAGGCAAAAAAAAAAAAAAAAAAACCTGATCACGTCACACCACTACTTCATTCACTTCATTGGCTCCCTGTACAAACTCTGTTCTCTGCCACAACTTTTTCTCGAATTCCTTCCCCTTCCTATCTAACCGAACTTCTCTCTGTCTATTCACCCCTTTGACAGCTTCGCTCCTCCGCAGACGCGCGTATTCTTTCTGTCCCCAATACTCGCACAAAAACATACGGTGAACGATCTTTCTCTTTCTGTGCCCTCAAACTATGGAAATCTCTTCCACTACACCAGTGCTTCTTTCAGCTATATCTCTCTTCCCCCCCCCCCCCCCCCCCGAGCAAAAATACCAACAACAATAAAACAAAATATATTTTATTTAAAAAAAACTACCAAATTTTAATTTTTTAAACAATTTTAAAAAGAATACTAGCTGGTGTCATGAACCGATTACAATAAGTAGAATCTATGAAATATCGCTATGCTCGATATATTTGATGATCCGTTTATTTAAGGCCAATCTTCTTAGAAGCTTGCGTTACTCGATTATAAATATCTCATCATTTGGAAAATTTGCTAAGGATGAGCCGAAGTATTATTCTCATTCGCATTTATCTGTATTTTGGTACTTAATTATTGTTTGAAAACTCACAAATTTAAAGACTTTATTAACACTATACTAAACTCCATTTGCTTCACTTTTAAGGTCTATAATTATAGAGTTCTCACTAAGTATAAAACGTGAGCAATCTTTTCATGTTTTCAAATTATTTTATAATAAAAGCATTACTTTTAACGTAGGGAATAGTATTAATTAAAAATTGAATGATTGCCTCAAGCCTCGTGCTTTAAAAAATATAATTATTATTACCAACAGTGTTTATTTCAACTATCTCTCTGGGGGTGCACTGCCCCCACCCCCAGCCGAAGCACAATGTGTACAACAAAATTTAAAAAGAAATATATATACATTTTTTTTTTAAATGACAAAATTGTCATTGTTAAACAGTTTTAAAAAGCATAGTAACAATGCCATTAACCAATTACAATGAGTGGAATCTACACAATATCGCTAGGCTCGATATATTTTGAAAATCCATACATTTAAGGCTAATCAAGATATAGTATTCGGTTTTACAAATCGCCCTGTCCGTTCCAGTCTTACTTCATATTGTTCGTATAATATATCGCTATTTTTATTTATTTATTTTTGCAGCTTCACACCTTTAAAGATTTTAATGACAGTGTATTAAAATACATTTACATACCTATAAAGGTCTACAATTTTAATAATATTTAGTCAGGAATAAAATATGTGCAATCTGTTTTCAAATTATTGTTCATCGTAAAAGCATGACTAAAAATAGGGATATGTATTAATTATAAACTCTCCGATGGCATACAACTTTTTTTCTAATCTAGAATTTAAAGGGCGCATACGAATAGTGCACTTTTCATACATTTTTATCAAATGAAAAGTTGTTGGTTTTTTTTATGTGCTACGTTTGTTACAAAGTTTCCTGAATAACAGATTTTTTTTTTTTTTTTTTTTGTTGTTTTTTTTTTTTTTTTTTTTTTTTTTTTTTTTTTTTTTTTTTTTTTTTTTATTTTTTTTTTTTTTTTTTTTATACGAATAGTGCACTTTTCATACATTTTTATCAAATGAAAAGTTGTTGGTTTTTTTTATGTGCTACGTTTGTTACAAAGTTTCCTGAATAACAGATTTTTTTTTTTTTTTTTGTTGTTGTTGTTTTTTTTTTTTAATACGTAGCCTTTTTTTATTATTTTTAATTTCCCAACTGTTTTTCTCTTTTTTTAAATGTTAGATTAATAAACAAACTGCCCCATCCTTTGGCTTTTCTTTCTTTTTTTTTTTTTTTTTGTTTTTTTTTTTTTATATGTTTTCTTTTTTTTTTTTTTTTTATTTTCCAATTTTTTTTTTTTTTATTTAAATTTTAAAATAAAAAAAAAATTTCCCCTTTCTTTTGTTTTTTTTTTTTTTTTTTTTTTTTTTTGCAACCTCAAAATTGTCTGAAAGAAACAAAAAATTCAAGTACGTGCCGAAATAATGCACCCTTGCATTTTGAGTTTGTACGAATGGCTTTAGTACCTTAAATTATGCACCCCTTCCCTCACGCTGATCAATGGTACAGTATGGGGTTGATTATATGCTTGTGCCTAATGATTACACTGGGGCACGTCAAAAACGGAGTGAATTTAGTTTATATATGGCACTGGGCTAAATAATGCCTGCAACAAACCTTTAAAAGTTTATTCACTGTTCAGAAGGTATAATAGAAACATCAAATTCAAGTATACTCAAAAATACTTCTCTTGAATTTTAAATAATCAAAAATTTTCTGGCGAGCATATCCCCCAAATCCCTCCACCAATCAAGATTCATCGGCGCACTCAATTTCAGCCCTACGTCACGATGAAAATGAGCGCCGATTTTGGTATAGATCTATACACTTCATGGTGGCGTAGCTACTATTAATGCCACCATGGACGGCCAAATACTGTTGCCATCCTCTCTGTCACGATTCAAACTCTGCAGTTATCCAAAAATGCCACACCAGCATATGAAGAAAAAGTGACACCTGGGTGGACCGCTTAATCCGTCCTATTTCGACGCCACTACCAGGGGTGTATCTGCAGTGTTTGGCGTCAGGGGACAAGATTCAGTTTTACGCCATTTTTTCAACCAATTAACACCATTTAAGTCCATTTTTGCTCCCCCCACTAGTCTGGCGCCCCGGGACGTATGTCCCATCTGACACCCCTTAGCTACGCCTCTGGCCACTGCCCCCCCCCCGCCGAAAATCTGAAATGCCCCCTGGGGGGAAAATTTCTAAGAGAAACACTGCACTACACAATACACATACGCAATACACCGACCATCACAGCCTTCAAAACTGCACTCAAAACACATCTCTTTAAACTTCTACTATCCTGACTGATTGCCCCCCTCTGAATGTAAATAGTTAATGAATGTGTGGAGTGAATCTAAATTTGTTTTGTTTTATTTAATTAATGTATGTTAATTTTTAAGTTCATAATTATGTTTATTAAATTGTATATACAGCGTGGTGAGCCCAGCCCTAGGCCGGGGTACCGCGCTATGCCTCATGCCTCGTGCTTTAAAAAATATAATTATTATTAGCAACAGTGTTTATTTCAACTATCTCTCTGGGAGTGCACTAAAACCACCACTAATAATAAAAATAATTATTCTTATTATTTTAGAATAGTTTATGATACAAGAGAGAGCCGCATCTACTCCTTCGAAAAAGAACTGTCACATGCTTTCGAAACTGTAAGTAAAGATGGTCTTTGGAACATCTTGGCAAAGTATGCAACCATGGAAACAATTGTAACCATGGCATAAGAATGCCATGATAAATATGCTGGCCAGAGTTTGTGACAATTACAGTAATACAGCAAGGTTGCCTCCTGGCACATCTTTGTTCAGTCTTATTTTCTCAATCGCACTGGTGGATGCCTATTGCCTTCAGAGAGAGAGACGATGGGATCGTCATCACAATTTAATGAACTGATGGTAAACTATTTAATCTCAGACACCTCCACGCAAAATTCAAGGTGTTGGGGCCACATTTAATCTTTGTCAATTACTGTGACCGTGATCTCAATCGTTGCCTGACCAGAAGCCGATATGCAACACAGCGTTGCAAACTTCTCCATCGAGAACCACCGGACTAGAGTCCGCTGAGCTTTAGGTACTGAGTTAACTGAGCGAGTCCCTCTTTTCTAACCAGACATCATCATAATGATGTAGCCCAAGAGTCCAACTTTCAAAATGATAACAGACACAATTTGGTTTAAGTACATAAGTGCTTCCTCTACCAGTGCCGAATTTATGGCTACTATTTTGATAATCATATTTCACTACCATTACTAACATCTAAGAGAACGTAGTCTGATGCTGGTCCACCATGATGTAGCCTAGTGCTGGTCCACCATGATGTAGCCTAGTGCTGGTCCACCGTGATGTAGTCTGGTGCTGGTCCACCATGATGTAGTCTGGTGCTGGTCCACCATGATGTAGTCTGGTGCTGGTCCACCATGATGTAGTCTGGTGCTGGTCCACCATGATGTAGTCTGGTGCTGGTCCACCACTTTAAGCACTGCACTTTCCTTAGGATAAATGAGCTTTGCTACTTGTTTATATATTTCCCCACATACTTTGTTTTTGTACCACACATTCACCCATAACTGTCTAAGCCAGTGTGCGCTGCAGTGTCTGTCAGGGGTGATGTAAAACACAGAAAAATCGCTGCAGTGTGTCAGGGTAGATGTAAAGCACAGAAAAATCGCTGCAGTGTCTATCAGGGGTGATGCAAAACACAGAAGAATCGTATTTATATGCAATGTGTGGATGGTTTGGATTTAAGATAGACTTCTGGAAAGGTTTGCAATCATAAGGGATTGCAGCACTGCAAATAGATTAAGAACCACTGGTCTAAGCTTCTTAAAAGTTTTCGATGTCATTTTTTTTTAAAAAAAAGGTGAACTATTTTCTCTTGTCCCACCAATATTTGTTTTAAGTCTGGGTTTCATTTAATTTATGCCACCTAGGAAATGTTTAATGTACTCAGTTCCATCAACATTGAGGCAGGTGTTTCAAAGTAAGTAGGCCTACCCATAGCTATTAGTATTAGAATGCCTCACTACAGAACAAAGACAAGAGAGAACGATATTCAACACAAGTTTAGGATGATAAATTATATTGTGTGTTTATTACGTTAAAAAAATGAACATTATAATACACTGAATACAAGAAAACAACACCTGGGAATGTTTCATTAGCATTGAATTATTAAAAAGTAAATTTAAAATAATTAGGCCTGAAGTGCAAGCTTTTGAACTAGATTAATCATGTGATTCTAAGGCCAACAAATACAACAACACAGTCACAATACTGGTAAATGGATACAGAAAGGACAATTGATCACATTTAAAAGTAAAAGTATTTTTAAAATTAATCCCAGCAGAGGCAGGCTATCCTAGACAAGACAGGCTGATAGTTTGATACCTAGTCGGCAGGCTATCCTAGACAAGACAGGCTGATAGTTTGATACCTAGTCGGCAGAGGCAGGCTATCCTAGACAAGACAGGCTGATAGTTTGATACCTAGTCGGCAGAGGCAGGCTAAAACAATGTTTCCCACTGTAAGCTTTTACTTTTATTATCATCAGACAGCAAGTCAACTATTTTGTTTTTTTCTTAGTATTGGTAATCAGCATTGTCTGTTTCTATTGATGAACCTGTTGATGAGTTGTAAACACAGTCCACCCGTTAAAAAGATGTGGTCTTATTTGTAGGAGAAGAAGAGGAAACCTCTGGGAAAATGACAACATGATTTTTATTTTTATTTGAATATACAAAAGACCTTATGATTCCATAAGAAGTTTGATGAAGACAACAATAAGTTTAAAATAAGGTAAAAAGTGAATCCTGTCTTGTTTCAACCAGCTTGATGGTTCAGTCATGCTGAGGGAGCTCAGTATCCTTGGTGGCTGCTCATGTCAGACTGTGCAGAGACGAAACAAACAATATTCAAATAAGTTAGTTACAGTATGTATGCATTGATGTGATGAAACCGAATGCACTTTTCAATCTTGGCATAAGAAGGTTTAAATGGTCTAGTGTCCCATATTAATTAATATTATTAAAATGGGATAGATGATTTAATTTTTTTTATTCTTCACCAGCTAGAAAGTTTGTCTTGCTTTCAATTCTAATCCTATCACATACCTATAACTAAATTTTTAGTACCAGTAATGTGTAAAATATATCAGTAGAATCAATTACTTTCTTGTCCTTATAATGGATGTTATATAAATCAAGTACATAAACATATTACATATGCAACAAAACTAAATGGGTAAAAGCTGTTGTTTAGTATTAACTTAATTAACTGACACATCACGTGTGAACTAATCATGGGATGACTGTCAGCAACCAACACTTGGTGCAGTATCTGAACATTGAAGCCAAGAAGACACAGATAGAAATGAACTCATACATAACATAGAGAGAATGGGAGGGGGACAGGCATTTTGTGAAATGCTTCTCTCCCCACCTTTCAACCAGGTTTAAATACGGAATCACCATCTATGGTTTTTTATATAAGGAAAATAATTCATTTATTTTTCGGGAACCCTAGAGTATTTTGCTATAGATTATAACTTGCCTGAAAAAGGATTTTATTCTCTGTATCGTAGTATATTTTCAAGTCTACAACTTTAGAGGATATTGTAATATCAAACTTATTTATCACCTTAGCCCAGTGGTTCCCAACCCTTTTTTTTTAACCCCGAGCCCTTTTTTAGATTTCATTGCTATGAGGGAGTCCCTTAGACCTACCCTATGTCTTACATTTTAATAGTGTTTAGGAGTTTCCCTGCAATGGATTACAGAGCCCCTAAGAAGTGCACAGGTTGGGAACCATTGCCTTAGCCCTCTGGTCGGCAAATTCATTAGTCAAAAGACCCAAAAATAAGCAGCAGGACGATTACATTTTTTTGAGAGCCAAATTTCTTTTCAAGAACCTGTCAAGCACCATATTTTTCGGAGTCAAAACTGATTTGTGGCCGGCTGGCAGAGACACACTCAAGAGAGAGGGGGGGGAGGTGTACATAAAAAATATAAAATAAATGGTTTCAAAACAAAGCAGGAATGGATCCATCTAATATAAGGAACATCAAGCACATATATTATTATGGAACAAATTTAAATATTGATAGAAAATCCTACACTAGTGACACACTGATTCTATTTCTATGTGCCAAGTTTAAAAGGGGCCAGGGAATGTGTGTGGGCACAAGATGCAAAAATATGTAGAATATCTAATTTACAGAATGAGAATTTAACCAACTATGATACACAAGTTCTTCTTATTATTTTGAAGTTTTATAAAAAATCAAAATATTTTTTTTTCTTCAGAAACTTAATTTTTGTATCACTATTTAAATTATTTATACAAATAAAATATCTCATGTTCTAAAAAGACCAAGTGTATGAATTTGTGTGACTTGGGCCGATGTTTTTATTTAGTTTGCAGAAGGGAACATTTGTCTAGTTGGGGAACCCCTGCTGTATAATAAATGCAGTTAGCATAAGACATGCTGATCAAAACTAACCACATCTGGTGAAAGCTTCAAAGACACCAACAACCAACCAGGGGCATTTGGCAGGAAACATTTCACAGACACTTGGGCAGAATGTAAACAGAAAGGTGTATGGTAACTTACTTAAACCTAAAGTAATGAAAAGGTTTTGTTTGTAATCATTGTTTATAACAATATATCATTTCTTGTACTTTCAAAATATGTGTACATAATTAGTTATTACTAAAGTATATTAATATTTGAATTCTTGAAAAGTGAGCAATAGGACCCTCAAGAGGCATATCTTGGGGGGGGGGGGGGGGGGGGGAGCAGCTGTCACAGACAAGTTGGGGACCAAAATGGGTTTTAATGATATTTTATTGATGATAATCATGGGTTTCAGAGTTGATAGGTGGGCGTAATAATGAATCTTGTCCCCGGACGCCAAAAACTCTTATAAACGCTTCTGGGACCATCCCTTATCTTTTCCTTTGTTTTTCAATATATAGACACCCATCATTGCTAGGTAAAATAATTTGCTTAAACTTCTATTTTTACATTTATCTTAATGTCAATTTTCCTAAAGTCTGCATCTAGATTAAGGATAATAAATGGGACAATCATAGATGATCATAGGTGTTACATAGAAGAGTGCAATGTTAACATCAAATTGTTAAGCAACTTTAATTTAGACACAGTTTTTCTTTGCAAACTGACAATAACAGTCAATCATAATCCTTAAATTACGGAGTGTATGTTATTTTTCCACAGGATAAAGTAGGCCAACTAGTTTTATAAAAACAGATAGATAATAGGTTCAAGAGGCCAAAAAGAAGATGCAAAGCACCAAAGTTTAATTAATCTCCTTAACAATGATCAATATATGTGTGTATAAAATGTTTGCAAAGGTCACATGATCACATCAATATACTACAAGGTTCTAACTATGCACATGTAATTGCTGACAGCAATACAAAAGGAGGAGGACACAAAATAATAGATCAGAACAAATGAGTATTTTTTAAAATTATTAATTTCCAACCATTGAAAAGTTCTGTTTAGTCTAAGCAGCTGGTAAAGCCTTAATAAAATAAATATACACATTCACACTCTGCAGTCTTTTCCTTTTTAATCCAATAGCATATTGTGTTAATATTTTCATATGCAATACTCAATCATAGGAAAACTAGACTATCTAAGCAGCTTCTCAGCAAATATATTTTTTCATTCACATTTTTATTTTAAAAAATGAACACACAACACCAACCATAAAGCTTACATATGGTGTATGCACCATCTGGTGTTGTTGCTGTTGACGGCGATGGTGCTGATGCTGTGCAGCAATTAATTAGAGACATATATCCAAATGTGAGACCCAAGTTAATGTTTTTTTGGCATGAAATGGTCAAGATATTGTCTCCAACTGAATTTAACAGTTGCTAATATTGGGCTTTATTTATTTTCAATGCTTATTTAAAAAGTCATCAAAACTCCATTGATTATCAAATGAGTGTAATGAACTATTTTATAGAAGTTAAGTTAGGTATTGGAATATTTGCGTTAAAACAATAACTGAACCCTAGGAAAATCATTTACACTTTTTTAATTTCTGGCCACCTTAAATGATTTCAATCATTACACCAGTGTTTCCCATTTTTTGTTTATGTAAAACTACATTTACAGAAACATATATTTAGATGAATTTAGGTGAATGTGTTTTTTGTGCGTTCCATTAGTACTTTATGGTGGGTTCATTTTCTTCTATAAAAATAATTTCTCAGTGTATTTAAAAAAATCATTCCTCTATTTTTAAAAATGATTCCAGTAAAATAAAAAAAAGAGAATTCTAATGTGACATTTTTAAAATCGGACCAGCAGATTACAATTCAACTTATAAATAATTTGGTGTTATATAATTTCCACCCTCATCAAATTTAAGGATAACAGGAAAAAACAATTCATTTTATACAGAAATGTGTATTATGGTAGCTTAACTTACAGAACCATCATCAATGTACTGTGAGGAGGGCTCCTCCTCAAAAAGTCCAGCCTGTTGTTGATAGTAATGGCCTTGAGCCTGAGGTGTAACCGGAGTATGGGGAGTGCCGGCCTATAATGTAAGAAATGTACACGCTAATCAAATTAACTACATCATTATATTTTAATTGTAAAATTAACTATAATAAAAAAAAATAAAATATGTTAACACCCCCCCCCCCCCCTAAAGTTTGATTTCTTAATGTATTTTTTTTGTCATTTTGTAAAACTTAAATACATTTAATACCAAAGCAGAATGTAAAAAATATATTAAATTTTAATTTTTTTATTAATAGCATTTTGTAACTTATGATAATATTATCACTTTCTGAATATTATCATGAATTTTTTTTTATCATTAATACAATACATATATTTAACAACCCCACCCCCCTCCGTTTCGGAGGCAAATGATTTACAATATACAAATCATCTTTTTTTTGCTGTGGACCCAGATATCAAAAGTTTTAAACTGCCTTCAAATCCAATGTTACTTAAGCACACTAACAATTCACCGAATCAAGTTGCAGTCTTCAGTTTTTACTTTAACAGGTGACAAGTGTTGAAATACTATTAAAAAATTCAATTAAGAAATACTGAGAACTAATTGAAATGAACTTGAGGCTCCAAAAATATATATTTTTTTTACTTACAACGGGTGTCATCATCTGTTGTGGCGTCATGGCCCGGCGGTGTGGAGACTGGCGGTGATGGTGCTGCTGCTGCTGATAGTAAAACTGTTGCTGCTGGTGGTGGTGTCTCTGGGGATGGTGGACAGAGGCAGGGCTCTCAAACTCACCAATACTGTTGTCACTGGATTCACTTATCTGTGGCCTGGGTTTAAGTGTAAGTTGGATTGTAGTATTAAAAACATGCATGCTGAATCTGACTCATTAGGCCAAGCTTTAATGTCAATCAGACAGATATTTTTTAATTTCATAGATTAACCCTTTCATCACTGCTGGTTTTGGGCATACATTTTTGCTGACTCTGCAATTAAAAACTTTAAGATGAAACTTCCGGTATTTTTTCATTCTCTATCCGATTCGCCTATTAACTTCTTTATAGATTAACTAATAAAGAAATATAACGCATTGAAATATGACGTCAACGTGATGTCCTTGGTATTTCAGAAAAAATCTTTGCCTCTTCGTTATGACGACAATGTGATGTCCTTGGTAAATGAAAGTGGATGATCGTGACGTCGCATCGACGGTATATGAAAAGGCTAAGGAGTTTTTCTTGTTCACATTAAATTTAAAGCTTTGCAAAAGTAATATTTTAGAGTTGTCTAATCCACTTGGAGGGTCGTAACACATTTTGGGATTACAAGGGTTCATCTCTTTGCTTTTTTATTAACATGAAATGATGTTAAAAATAGTGTCAAACCACAGCGATGTTGTGCACATTCTTAAACAAGGGCTCTGCTGATATTTTGGACTTAGTGTAAATTAAAATTGTCATTTTTCTCAGATGCAGTAACAGGTTTGTGTTATGAATCCATGTCAAAGTGAGAACGCTTATCTTTTAACATTTAGTGTGCGAAGACCATTAAGTCAGTGATAACTCTGTCTTTAAAGTTAAAGCCTGTGTCAACTTAGAATCTCTTCTTATAAAATGGGACCCAGCTACGCACGTTTGTTCAAGGGACATTTTGAACACAGGGTCGAAAGCAACCACACTTGATGCCTCCGTGAATTCTACAAAAGTTACATTGATGATGGTATTGGGGTCACCACAATGGAGAGGAGTGAACTTGACCTATTCATTAACTTTTTAGGCTCTTTTCACCCCTCCATTTAATTCACATCTCTTTCCTCTGAGACCACGGTCAACTTTTTGTCACCCTTCACAATGACAGCCTACTCACCTCCGCTTACTGACACCCACAGCTATTTTCTTTACTCTTCCTCCCACTCAAAATCCTGTAAAGACTCTATTCTCTTTTCTCAATGATTTTGTCGACTTAGCCAGTCAGAGAATGACTTTTGGGTCAAGGCAGTTGAGATGATCAACTACTTTCGATGCAGGTCCTACCTGGGACAGTACTTTCATCAGCTCTTCAAAAGTTGAAAATAATACCTGTGCTAATGCCTTCAGGTCACGTCCAAGTGACAATGACGACAGGACCAAACTTATCCTCACAATCTAATAGCCAAACGTGTTTTCCTTAAAAACCATGCCATTCTCCTGGTCGACCCTGACATCCACGACATTTTCTCTTCCCAGCCTCTGATTGTTTACAGATGGGATAAAAATCTGTGAGACCTCCTTGTACGAAGTCGCTTCAATGCTTCCCCCACCCACTGTAGGACCAAGCCATGTGGATGCTGCCATTGCAACCCTTCCTCTTTTATCATCCAGACTATGCCATTTTTTGCACCCGCTGCCAGATGTCATAAATAGGTGAGACAGGACGCAGACACTGACAGATGTACTGAACATGTCCCTGATATTATGCAAGATAAGCATTGTCCCGTCTCTAAACACTTCAGTAGAAGTGACCACAAGGCATGTGCAGATTTTACTATAACTATAAGTGCTGTCGTGACCATTAACACACCAAACTGGTTGAATTTCGAAAACAAGCTGATTCAGACTTATAGAACCTTGACACTACGTGGCATGAATGTTCTCATTCAACTGTTAAACCTTTTCTCAGCCCCCTCCTACTTTTCCTCTGTTCATTCCCTTTTTGCCTGTATTTTATCTCTCACCTACTTATTTTTCTGTCCAATTCCTCTTGCTGTCCTCTTGGATACTACATTTCAGCTAAGTGTTATTTTATTTTAATTCTATTTTTACAGTTGTTTTTTTCGCTGACTTGCTCTTGCAGAAACATTCTTTGTTTACTTGCATTCTTTTTTTGCAGGTTTTCCCCTACTTTGTCTCACTCATTTCCATTTTTCTAACCTGATTGCAGTCTCTCCCCCTTATTACCATCTTCTTAAGATCAGCTAGAGATCCTTTAGGAAACACTGTTTCTCATTTCCTGGGGGCTTTGCTTAGCCCAGGGAAACAGAATGAAAGTTACCCTCATCATGGGAGTTCCCGTGATGAAATTAATTCTATATCAAATGTTCTAAAACTGAATTAAACTATACAGATTGTGTTTTAATAATTGGTAAACTTGTTAAGGAATTTAAGGAATGAAAAACAATGTTAGGATTTGTTGGGAGGTTGATCATTTCCCGTACTTGGCCCTAAGGATAATTTGCTAATATTTTGCTTGTTAAGCAAAGTTCGATATGACTACCTGTAGAAAAAAAAGCTTTCTTTGAGTTTTGCATTCTTTACAGGTCGCAAAATTTAATTTCCAATCTGTCAGGAAATAACAAGAGCTTCGTTTCAAATTTAAACAAAAAAAAAATTAAAATGTTCAATACTGGTAAATTTATATTTATGTAAAGTACCGGTATTACGAGGTTTATTAAGGACGTAAAAAAATAAATAAATTAAAAACTAACAGCCGCTATGATCAAGTTACTAGAGCAGTTCTCAGCCCATGGAACCTGACCTCCACTGGGGTTGCGAAGGGATATTTGTGAAATAACCATTTAAAAAAAATTTTCATTTTAATTTGGACTTTTCCAGATATATTGTCAATCATTGCACTAACTATTTCTTTAATTAAAATTATATCATGCTGAAATATCTATTTAAAATGTGATTTCATATACCATATGAAAAAAGTTTTTTCTCTCAAGATTATGGGTTTGTGAGTACGGTACTTTGCTTCTATATTAATGTGGGCGCAACGTTAAAACAGTTGAGAATCTGTGCACTGGGCTCACCAATTCAGCTCAGTTGACTAGATTTTACCGGTCCTGGCTTATAGCCACAATTTACGACTGGCTGAAATTAAAAATACAAAATTGGGTGTTCTAAAAGAAGTTTGTACGGTACCGGAGAATTTTTTAAATATATTTTAAATTTAACAGGATCTCGGTATCCTGCTTGAGAAACCCGAATTCCATTAAAAAAAAAAAAAAACACATCAAGATAGCCTCAGACAAAAGTTCCTTAAGCCCAAACCTTTAAAACAAAATAAGAAAAATCAAAATCCTAAAACCAACTTACGTAGCTGGAGGATGCCTGTGTCGATCTGACCTCCTCAGGTTGTGGTGCTCTGCCTGCGGTTGTTGTTTGTGGTGCCAGTTACCCTGAGCACCCCTAGAACTGTGGTCAAGATAATACAGGTGGGAGAAGAGGTGTGACAAGTCATGTGCAGGAAAGATTAGCAACAAGGTCAGGTGGATTAGATGTGGTAGAGCAGTTATTGAAGATAAAAGGTCAACTATACAGAAACAGATCCGGACTAAATCCTATCTAATCGTATCTGGGTATAAAAATGTTTAGTGCACAAGCTGTTCTCCAGAGGCAATAGTAAGTAATATTAGAATTTAACATATCAAATTCCTCTCCAACTAGCATCCTGTCATAAGATTAACTATCTTTTGTTACATTAAAGGCCAAGACTCAAATCTTATAAATATTGAAACCAATTTTTCCACATGTGTAATTGAATGCCATTATTATAAATAGACACCTCAATTATGATACTCCTTTTAAAATTTTTGTTTAAATTTCCCGTCTTCCAATTCATATTTAGAAAGAAAATATTACATTAAATAAATGTTACATGCAGGTAAAAATCTATTAAAATACACATTTCTAAGACCCACATTAAATAAGTTGTACCATACTGTCAAAAAGTTTTTAAAAAGCAACATTTGATAAATAGATTTATTTATTGACTGTGCTGCCAGAATTTAACTATATTTTGATTATTTTTTAGAACATTTAAAGACCAATTCACACAATTAAAACAATAAATAAAGAATACAACAGAAATAAGTAATGCCAATTGTCTTTTATTTTAAAAAAATATATGAACCAACAAACAAAAACAACAATGCTAAAGAGAAAACATTCTGATTGATACAATCAACTCTCTGAGAAAAGCTTTGAGAATAGCTGCCCTTATAAGTATATCAAGATAGCTGATAGTCTGTTGTCTTTGAATATATGGTATTTCATAATCAAAATTTAAGAATAGACATAGAACTTTCATTTCAGTACATGCCTAAAGGAATATATATTTTTTTTATTTCCAATTACCTTATTTCTTTACTACAAAATAAAGAATATTCAGTTGCTGTAACAGTATACAATAGTGAATTTAAGTTGTCTAACCGGAAGGGTTTTAGTTGTCAAATTACTTTAATCTAGTAAAGTAATGCTTCATAGCCTTCACCCACTTTTAACAACCCCTTATATCCCTTAGTAGGTTTTATTAGAACCTACTTTTTAAAGCTTTATGAGGCTGTTTTCAAAATATTAACGTAAAACAAATAAATGACGATAATAGCCTCAGATACATATTCCAAAATTTTTACATACAGTAAGGCACAATAGGATAAATAATGAGAAAAACATCAAACTTGAACTAAACATCACACAGTAAAAAATGCAATCATATAGCAATATTAAATAATATACACCTATATACATCATTAAATTAATTTTTTTACAAAAATTAGAATGAGATCCTCTACCCATTTTCTATTAACCCTTACAGTACCCGGCGCGTCTTTTTGCAGTGACCTAATTTTTCCCTGTGACCCAAGCGCGTCTTTTTTCACCAGCCGATCGTTTTCCGTAGCCCAAGCGCGTCTATTTGCCACATAGCGGGGTATCTAATAAAAACACAGAAACAAGGATATAACCTTTCACCCCAGTCTCGGGCAGAATGTTTATTCGTTAGGGGAATAGTCAAATTTTAATTTGCCTTTTAAATTATGAAAATCGACCAATTACTGAGTTTTTTGTGCGGATCTGTATTTGTTGTTTCCATGGCACTACTTAAATCGCTATTGTTGATGGCGACTTACGCCCACTTGATGAAACCTTTTATTCTGAAAATATTATTGAAATTTAATTGGGATCAGAAGTGTTTTTTTAACACCCTTATCCATTTCTGAATAGATAATTCTCTACATGTTATTATCAATTGTTTAAAACAAAAAAGTTACAAAATAAATTAACATCCTATCAAATTTTGACTCATTCCAAAATAATGTCTGGGCCACAGGGAATAATTAGCCAATTAATGGCCGGTACTGAGACAATAAAAGCAAAAAGTAGGTCAGTACCGTAAGGGTTAAATGATTAAAATAGTAATTTCAAAACATATTTAGCTGAATAGCAAATCTTGAACCTGACAAACACTGTGCATAACGGCAAAAGCTATGTAGTCTACACTAGTTTTATTTCAATCCTTTGATAAAAAATGGAAGTTAAATTTTCCAGTTTTAGGATGTCACACTTTGTAAATGAATGTATACTAGCAACATAATCAAGTCAGAAAATTGGAGGGCATCACACTCATAAATACTTCCTAATTTATTCGCATTAGTATTAAATGCATAGAGATTGCCTTCCTGAAATAATATTTGCCTAGGAAATTTTTCTATGTATAGTAAAATTATATACATTAAATTATGAACCACAGTGAACCAAGACTGACAGGATGGTGCAGAACATGCTAATTTTCATTAAATATATTTCAACGAAAGTTTATTCAGCAAATTTAGACTTCATTTTCTTTATCATGAAACATATTTTTTATTCCTTTCCTGTTGGAAAAACATTAGATGGGGTTGTAATTTAGTTCTTGGGGGGCAGGAGGTGGTGTTCAAAAGAAAAGCAATATTTATTCTCATCCTAAATGGCACTTCCTTGTAACTAGAACAATATTTGAGTTAACTTTCCTCAAGTCTCTAAAGCAAGGAATTCTGGTCATTTCATGGTGGTCCACTAAACAAAAGCAAACAAAGAATGCACCCACAATGTGAATAAGAAAAAATAGGCAAGAGATGCTAACATGAAAAGGTACACCATTTAATCGGTGTATCATAGTGATATCTAGCCCCTATGCCTTTTTGTTCTCATCAAATTTGTTTGTACAGTAACCAAAACACAGTTACTTTAAGGAACCAAAAGAATTGATGTCATACTTGGCTTGACATTAGTTTTCTATTTAATCCTCCACCACAGCTTCAATACTTCATATAAAAATAAAATTTTCACACTGAATAGCTTATACACTTTATTTCCTCCAAGTCAATACTCAACAATCTTTTAATGCAACGTCATAAATATCTAATTTAAATTTAGTTTTTAAAAAATAAGGACATTTACAAACTTATGTTATTATATTTTATTTTCTAAGCCAAGCCCTGTATGAGACCAAAACATAAAAAAGAGCCCATATTGAAAAATTATAATGAAAATGAAAAGATAACGTAAATTTCGATCCAAAAAATTGAAACACCGATTCATGGCTTACGAGTCATCAAAGTCTTGTTCTGAACCAATGTTGGATTCCATGTTGGAGTCTTCATCGGGTTCATGATGATGACCTCTTTTGTGAGCAGTGGATGTCAGCGGTTGTATGCTATTGGGCCCTGGGGTTTGAGGTTCATAACTTGTGTCAGAAGAAACTGAAATAGATTTTTCAAATATGGCAATAATGTACTTATGTCTTTAAAAAAAGGACTAAATCGTCACAGAGTGTTAGCAGAAATTTGCTTGAAAAGCAAGTTTTTTCAAAAACAATTTTCCTTTGAACAAATTGCTTTTGTACGAATTGCCAAATACATTTACAGAGCTAATCAGTAAAATATTTAGTGCCTGGTAATAAGAGTTGGTAATGTTTTTATTTGTGAAATCTAAGAAAGAAAAAGATATTTCAATAAATTACACAGAAAATTGTGATTTACTTACTGTCTTGACGTGCTTTTCTACCATAACGCTTCTGTGCTGCTTGTTTGATTGTGATAGTATTCCAGTCTGTATCTCCTTGCATCAAGCTGTTCCTGTAAGTGAAGAATGGTTGCCAGTCCTCTTGACGAACTTGAGGGATTTTACCTTCTACTTGTTTGTCTAAATAGTTGACACTGGGGAGAAAGAAAAAAAACCCAGTGGCATTTATCAATTTAAAACAGTGGTTCTCAACCTTCCTAATGCTGGGACAGTTCATGTTTTGGTGACCCCCCAGCCATAAAATTATTTTCATTGCTACTTCATAAATATGGGCCGATGGTCTTAGGCGACCAATGTGCGAGGTTCGTTCAACCCCCAAATGGGTCGTCACACACAGGTTGTGAACCGCTGATTTAAGCAATCACATTTTAAAGCTTAAAGTTGACTACATTTCAATTATCAAAAGCACTAGAATCAGCCACAAATAAATTTGTGAATCTCACAACTCATGAGATGATAGTGTGGCATTGGGTAAATGTAATGTTTCCTACATCGTGCAACATTGAAACTTGGACCATAAGTTATTTTAGCACAAACAAAATCATCATCAGATATCTTGAAGCGTACATTTTAATAACAAATAATTCTACTCACACTGTCTTTTTATCTTGTTTCATGAGTTTGTTTGTGAACTCACAAAGAACCTCAAGGAAAGCTAGGTTAGGTGGTGCAGCATTTGGCCCCTTGTCCCTATTTTCAAATGGTGTTAAGCTGAACTGTATGCCTTCTCTGTGAGATACAATATACAAAATTTATTCATAGTTGTACTGAGGCTATGAGGTACTGTAAACGTTATTTCATTAAGGAAAGTATAAATTATTACTTGCATAAAACATGTCAGCAAATTAAAATAAAAAAATTCAGCTAATGAAAATGATTTTCTTTTAAAATGTTTTCACTATGAATCACAAAAATAAAAAAATTACGTGTGCATTGTTGCAACAGCCTCTCTGTTTTTAATCTGGTCCAAACCAAAGGACAGTGCAAATCTTCTAGCCAGCTCCTACATATTTGCAGGAAATAAAGAAAAGTTAATATAAGCATTATTATTGTTACAGCCATTACAAGTAGCCAGTTCTCATTACAATCAAGATGTGAAAGGTTAAAAAGCACAATGGGCCAGCTTTTCATAGTAGAATGCATGTAGAAAAAAAAAAGGGTATTTAATGTACAGGGCAAGTGTGAAGTATGTGATTTTTTCTTCATAAATTATCTAGCAGTATATGATTATTCTATTTGGTTTTAGATGTTCTAAATTTCATAATCTCTTGCAAGTCTGTAAAATAGCAGGGAAAAGTAAGGTTTTGTTACACGGACTATTTAAAGAACATATAATAAATATCTTTTTCTTCAGACAACTTATGTCTTGATGTCCAAAGAGAAATTAAATTTAAAAAAAACTATAAAATGTACACTATTTTCCTATGTACCTTAATAGACTGGAAAGAATCGGACGATCTATCAACTTCTCCTTGCTCAATTTGGAGTTCTTTGAACAACTGGAATACATTTTTTTTAAAATTCCCTTTTATTTTAAATACCGTAACTTTCAAATGCTTAAATAATTTAATATTTAAACTACAGAATTAATCCACTGCACTATAATATTTTGTCAATCTGATAATTTTTATTTTTAATAAATATTAAAAAATGTTCAGTATTTCAGAAACAATTAACATACATAACATACATTAAAAAAAAATTGCTTTAACACTACCACAATTTGTTTTACATTCATAGACCAGCACAAATCTACAGCTCTACACCAATGCAGTGGACACAAGGAATACAACACATTTCCAGGATTAAGAGTCCCACAATTATGATGGAAAATGTTTAATCTACTAGCTTTAGACACACACCTGCTGCAGACTCATGGCCAGTGTCTTAGACGTGGTTACTTTGTTGATCTCCCTGGCTTTACTAAGTGTGTACTTTATGATATCACCATAGTCATTGTAAAACTGTGGATTTCATTAACAAATTAAACAGTCATTCATTAGATTATTTAAGTAAGACACACCTTTTTTTTCTCTTCTTTCTAAAAAGAATTTTCATGCTAACTGTGAATGAATCATTTATAGTCATTTCTAACCCTCTGAAACAAGAGATTTTATAAAATAAAATTAACTGAGTCAATTGTAGAAACCAAACAAAAGCTTTGAAATACCTTCATGTAATGCTTGAACATTGTGGCAGCCACTTTGATGTGTATTATGTTGTAGACAACTAATTTACAAAAACTTGCAAGAAAATTTCGCCTTTTGTGCAACTCTTCAATTTTTACATTTTCATCCATCTCCTCTGGAAAAATTAAAAATTTCAATTTTATTCAAATTTTTTGTTTTTGTTTGAATTCTTTATTTCTGTAAGCCATAAAGATCACACCAAAATCACTAGAATCATTTTGACATACACTAATGCTAAGAAGAGAAAGTGTATTTATAATTTTTTTTTAGAAGAAACTAATTAATGAAAATTAATACTACTTAAAAATTACTCTTATTGCCTCAAATAATTTCCAAATGAAATATTATTTTTTAAAAATTGCTTCCTTTGATAGAAAATTACCATCATCATCCTCTACAAATACTTTCATGAGAAGAAATTCACTGAGATGAGCTGTTAGTTTTGGCTCAACATCATACACAATTGGCTTCAGGAGAGGATTACTCTCTCCTATGTTTGGGCTGAACACCATCAGTAAATCACAAATAATCACAAAAGACTGAAATGTTCCCAGAAGAAGAATAGAATTAAGTTCGAAAGAAAAATGAAATAAGTTTTATCAGAATTTAAAAAAAAAAAAATACTATAGAAGTAAACATTTCCTTACTAGTGTGCTACAAAAAATTCATTAATATTAATATATGTTAGAGATTAAATTTCCAGTTAAATAGCGTCTAGTTTCAGATGAACTGCTTACGATTCTTGCATCTCATTAAAAAGAAACAGGTGGCTACAACAGCAACTCTTAATTTAATCTTTTAAACATGGTTATGATAGCTAATTTATATATTACACTTTGAAAGCTCTTATTTAAATTGTATACTGACATTGTGTCAGTGGTGCACTGTAATTTTGAGAGCCTTACCTCTTCTTTGACTTTTTCACTGTCATGGAACATAAGCTCATGACAACACTGAATCAGGAGGGCAAGTTTCTTCCTTAGCCTCTTCATTTCATCCTAATAGAACAAATTAATTAATCAATCAAACAAGTAAACCAATGTAATTATTAATTGAAATAACTTAACTTTAGTCAATATCTGTAATAGGCAGATGTACCGTAGTATAAATCCAATTTAAGCACTGGTTTTGATGTATCTTTACTATTTTATTTTAAAAGCTGGTAACTTTATTTTTCCAAAATTACTTCAATCTTAAAACATACGGGTCTGGGCTTTGATTCATCAAGACGTTTTAAATAAAAGAAAACAGCTGTTGAGCAGGTATGGATCGCTTTCACAATGATCTGAAAATAAAAATCCAATCCTTAAATACAGCGGAGACATTATATACAGCCAATACTTTCTATTCATTTAAATTCATAAACCAAATAATATTCATATTAATCAAAGAAGATTCATCTCTTAAGATGCTAACATGCAGAAGTTTGAAAGACATCACAATTTACAACTCACCTCCTCAGGGATAACAGCTTTCTCTCTGGCTGACTTGACCACAATGAAGCTGTCATCCCATACTTCCCAGTTGGTGAGATCATGGCAGCTGTGAATTTTAGACTTTATCATTTAGTAAACATGTAGTGGAAAACTTTTATGATAATTATCCATGTGCATGACTGGGTAAGTTAATGCTTGATTGTGATATCAAAGGCCATATATATGTACACACACACAAAAAGACTTACGAGTAAAAAGCACTTATCCTTTTCAGAGCAGCCAGTAAAGCAAAGACTTCATCTTCATCAGGGGTGTCTCCCTGAAACATTTCCAGTAAGTATGTATTGGCATTTATTGATTCTTAGCTAAGAATTATATTATTCAGAAATTCAAATCATTATTTTTCACAAACTTTACAGAGATTTAAAGATGCCCCTTTGTTCAAAGATTATTTAAGGGTCCTTTATAAATCTCTTTCAAGATACACAAATAAACAAAATAAAGTTTTAAAAATTTAACACAATTTCTCAAAAATAAAAGTTCTCCAAATGAAACTAGTATTTTAAAAAGAAAGAAAAAATACTCTGGTCAGTTTCATAATAATTGTTTTTTTTTATAAATTAACAAAACAAAAAAAACTTTGTACCTCTGTGAAGTAATCTTGGACAGCTGTCTTTAATTTGATCACTAAAGAGTCTATCAGTGTTTTTTTGCTCACTTCACTTTTGCCAGCAATGGCAAACTCTTCATTGCACAAACATTCTAGGCATTTGGAACAAGCTTCAAGAACCTGTGAACATTATTTTAGTGTAAAAAGTGTCGCCAGTTCAACAGTCTTACAATATAATAATAACATTTAAAAAATATATTATTATATTAAAAAATTTTACAATGAAAATCAAAGTTTTAAAACAAATGAAACTGAAGCTTAAAAAAATAAAATCAAAGATGCTCTTGCTACAAAATCAACAGTCAAATCTGCTACGTTTTATTAGTTAAAATATCCCTGCAGCTGAACTTGCCTCATTGCCTGTATGCTTTTCAACAATGTCATTTATATACCGCAACAATAATTCAAGATTCTGAAAAGAGAGAAAAATGAGTTAAGATGCAATGATTAAATGTAAAGAAGATCACAACTATTTCATTGCAGGGCTAACAAAAAAAATTGTTTTCCTTTAATAAAACCTCAAGGAAATAAGTTAATAATTAAATAAACTAAAATAATAAACGTCCTCCATTAATACTGATACCTTTTCTTGTCGACCAGATGTGTAGATATCTAGATCAAAATAGAGAGGGATCTGCAGCAGATTAGCAACTTTCTCAGCGTCCATCAAATACTTAAAATTTTAGAGATAAATAAAAAGTAATCAACATAAAAATATATTATTAAAAAAAAAGGAACTGACTAAATAGAGATTAAGTGAGATAATAGATGAATTACTCATTTACCCTACTTTTTCAAAGAATAGTAAGATCTATTGAAAGCTATGGGTCAGAACATTTACTTATCTTTATATGGTCAAGCTCACCTTGAGTAACAGTTGAGGAAGGGCAACAATAAAATGTTCAGTAAGCCTCTGCTTGTCCTCAGATACTTGTTTCAACTCTTTGGCTGACATCTGATCAGCAAATAATATAGTTTGAACAATTATTTTCATTAAAACCGAATCTATTATTGTTCTACTTTACTATTTAAGTCATAATTGCATTTTTATAAAACTAAACAGCTAACATAAGTGTATTTCTTTAAAACCTAAAAGCACAGAAAATAGACAAAGCAAATTCATATAACCAAAATTACAATCTTATTTAAAAAAATATGCCAGAATCAAGTATATCAATCTAAACAAACTAACATATGTTAAATCCATCTGCTTTATAAATAACTGGAGCATTGGATCAATTACAGAACAGACTGAAAATAAATTAATATATATTGCAAATTATTCCACATGTAACTACATGGATAATAGTACATCATACCATCAAATTGCTCCCCTAATTGACAATTTTTGTGGTACCTTTCTATTAGGACTTCTACCAACAGGTGATTCACCAGTTGCTGCTTGTTTCACACAACACACCATTATCTCTATAAGACTCGTTTCTTGTCTGTCATCAAGGGCTGAGTTTACAAAATTAAAGAAATAATTAAAAATAAGTCTGTAAATATAGTGCACGTAAGTACAAAACCATTGAAAATAAATCACAAATAAGAAATATAAATACTATCTTACAAATCAATGTTAGTAATTTATATATGGGAACAGAAACAGTTAAGGATAAGGTTCAGCATGAGCACAGGTTAAAAAATATTAATAATGTCAATTAATGATTAAGAATTCAATTTTATTTCTATACTCAACTCCTAAGCTCACAAATAGAAAGTTCTTGAACCTGACATAGGTATTTCAAAGCTATAACTTGTGCTGAACTGGCTCCATGTAATCAATTTGACTTGGCACATGTATCCTTCATTAATAACCACTATTTCTAATAGATTCACAGATGAAATCCTTTGAATAAACACCATAGACAGAACAAGTGCATAGGATAAAACTTACCTTCTTCTCCTTTACCAGATTCTTCTAGTAACAGGTCTGTCATACATTCCCAGTCTTTCATCATTTCATTAATTTCCCAAAGGCTGTCGACAAGGTAAGCAGCATGCTCATGCAGCTAAAAAATTTTAATTAAAAAAAATACAATTAATACACACTAGTAATAAATACCCCTAGGCTGGGGTACCGCGCTATATAAGACGCCTTATTATTAAGAAAAAAACAACAAAAAAAACAAGTCATATACCGGTATGTTAATGCTGCCAAATCACGTCTACTTAAATTAACAATAATATAGCAATGACAAAAATGCACAATTGAATTACCTCACTTTCAATAAAGAATTGAACCAGATCTCGTACAAGGGGTGTGTTATGGCTTCTCTTTTTACCGTTGGCCGATCTAACAACAGGGGCATCATCATCGCGCTTGAACAACTTGTGGTTAAGGAAATCTCCAGCTGCTTGTGCGACAGCTCGGTGTGAGGAATACACCAGCTCATAAACATTCTCACAGTCTTTGTCGCATAATACATTTTCACTGTACCTTTCCAAGTGAACATGGACATCAATAGACTCAATGTTGTCATAAGTTAATGAATTAACAAATAAAAGCTACAGAGTATTTAAAAACTCTTGACTTGAGCATACTTGACTAACACATTAACACATCAACACATCAACCTAAGAATAAAATAACTTTGGAGTAAATGGGAATAAGTTTGTGACACAGCAAAGCCAAATGCAAGTGAATGTTATGGTTTTGTAATACATACTTGAGAACACAGATGACTAGACGAATGGCCTGGACGGCTACATCATACTCTTTGTCCAAAGTCATTTCCACAATACGATCCTGAAATGTATGCAGAAGTAATATCTACAACTTGAAAAGAAAAACAAAAAACAAAAAAACGTTCAAAACTTTTTTTTAAATTTGGAAAGCAAGTATTTTTTATTTTCAGAACTGATGGCTATCCGTACCGCTCTCCACGAGATATCATGTGTATTCAAGATACCCTCAATCGCCTACCTTAAATCTATTAGTGAACAACTCCAGTTTCCCTGATAAATCTGGAGTTTCATGAAGTGGTGCTAAAGTCTTGAGGCAACATAGACGAACGTCCCCAACCTAAAAATAAATTTGCATTTAATTTAATGATTGTCAACATGTACTTGTAACTTTAAAAATACTAAAAAATGTTTCAAAAAGATTAAAAATTAAAATTTTGGTAATAATAATTTAAAAAAAAAAGAATCTTTTAAGAAAAGCTATTCTATTTTTACCAAATAATGCTAACTTTTAGTTCTTGAAATTAAGCTATAGAAAGAAACAAATATTTAAAAGTTAATACAAATCTACTTATTGTATGATTCATTTTGAAAACATAAATGTATGTATATTTTATCTGAAAAACTACCCTTAGCCAAAGCAATGTATTCAGTACTACGTGCATTCTTAGATTTGAAAGTCACACTATTCCCTGACCTTATCATAGAGTGTCCAGCCTACATATTTTAGGTAACTGTCATCTAGGAACATGTTAGGGTACTTTTTCATCCATACACCAATTTCAGCCATGCAGATGGATCGAATTTCAGGCTGTGTATCTCTTGAAATAATAAAATAAAAGTGAATAAATATGGAATGGTCTGAACTAACAGTTACTTTAATGAACCTCCTGTTTAACTTTTATGTTTGGTTGAATTGTCATCTACACAGCATAATAATTTTACAATGACCTTTACAAAATATTCTAACCTGTATCGGTGCACAAAAACACCTTTAAAGATGTAAGTCAACATGTTGCGTATTTCTGCCTGATTTTCTTCCAACTGTGGAGATAAAAAAAATATTTGATTTTTGTAACATCTCTAGATGGCTTTTGAATCATTTACTTTTTACATATATATATAGCATTGGAACATCAAATAAACAAATTAGTTTTGTTTGAAAACACACACCCCACCTCCCTTAAAATAAAAAAAAGCCTATAATCTTTTAAGACCAATCACAGGGGATGACGTGGTCATACTTGAAGAATTACGCTCAATTCCCAGGGCAGAACCAAGCTGGACAGCCCTGGCAAGACATAAAGCCAGGGAAGACTCAACTAAACATGGCTGATACCATAAATAATGGTTGAACAGAAATGTAACTTTTGAAGTTTTTTGTAGAATTTTTTGTAGTCAGCAGATATTTAAAAAAAAATTTGCTCTGTGCCATGTTTCTTTGGGTTTTACCATGTCTTTGGTAATAGCATAAAACACCAGTTGGCACACAAGATCTGAATGAATGAAATGTAACAGAAAAACTATTTAAAAAAACAAATCCGAAATAATGGGCATTTTTGCTTAAAATAATGAAACATCAGCTAAATTGTGCAAACACTACAAATTACCTCTTGTCGTTTTTGCATAAGCAAGTCAAGACGATCTCCAGCTCTCTTATTTTGCTGTTTGGCTCGTTCAGATTCATACTGCCTTTGTGTGTTGTCCAAATTAATGCTCAGATTCAAGGCAACATCCACCAGAGCAGTCATAAGTTTCATGGCTGTTTTGTAAAAGATAAAATTATTTTAAAATATAATTATCCTAATGAAAGGTAAAATTTCTAGTCATAAAGAAAATTAAAATATGATTTTCTAAAGTAAATAAGTATAAAACTTGTTAACAGCAATATACCTGCTAGAGTACTGGTGTGTCTGAATGCTCTGACTTGGGAATCTGTTAGCCCAGTTAGCAGAGAAATGACATTATCCATCATATACTGGTCATAGATGATGCTGTATTGACACTGTCTAACAAGAACTTGAACAAATTCACAGTATGAGGACTTAAACTTTTTCCACTGTGGACCTGTCATGATCAGTGGGTAATCACCACTTTCCTGTGGAGAACAAACAAAATTTTCAATGAAATTTAATCACTATTATTCTTTACTTCCTTTAAAAAAAAAAAAAAAAAATCTAAAGTTAATAGATTATTATTTTTATTATTTTTAACTGCATTTTATCTTTTTCCACTGTGGACCTGTCATGATCAGTGGGTAATCACCACTTTCCTGTGGAAAACAAACAAAATTTTCAATGAAATTTAATCACTATTATTCTTTACTTCCTTTAAAAAAAAAAAAAAAAAAATCTAGAGTTAATAGATTATTATTTTTATTATTCTTAACTGCAGTTTAACTCCATGAGTAGATTCAAAGAAAGGTATTAAAAGAATCTTCTAAAAGAATCTTCTATTTGAAAGCTGTAGACACTTATTTAAACAAAAAATGTCTTATTATTTCTCATGACTGCAAAGAATGGGATTTATTAGTAGGTAGTCCAAACTAAAGAAAAAATGAGTTTTAGGGTCATTTTTCGAAGTTTTCAAAAAAATAATTAATCCTCTTCTAGTAGCGATACAGCAATAAAATTTATATGTGAATAAAGTTTAATTCTTTATCTGGCGAAATGTGTTACTTGCATGACTGTAACATGTGTTTGAAAGTGTTTTTTCTGTGTTTGAAAAGTATCAGTTTTGACCAATTTTACGGCGTTTTTGCTAGTATCGGTTTACTCCAAGGTGTTTCAAACGCCCACGGCTACGCGTCTATTTAAGTTATCCCAATAATTCTACCACCATAAGAAAGAGCAGATAATGTCCTTTCGTTTGATGCATAGAGAGTTTATCTACCTTGCTTATTTCATTTTGAAAAAGCCGGTTGAAAACTTTCGTATTAAAAAAATGGTCGAAAACATGGAGATATTAGGACGCTCTTTACACGGTTGGAAAGATCAGGTCTTTAACTATTTAATATCACGAGATCAAATGAGTGGGCATGATTCTCGCGTAGCGGCGATGTTTACAAAAACACCCCCATTTCCAGTTCCACACCGCTATCACTAGACGCCTAACGCGCGCTTGGTGACTAGTACTAGTACCAGCGTTATGGCGGGTGCTTTTTTAGCAATGTTGGGGCTTTTAATCAACAAGTAAGTAATATAATTAAATTTTCATATAATGTATTAGTATTAGTGAATGTAAATGTTGATTAGAAGTGAGTTAAACTTAATTTGGTGTCGTCAGCTATTAGATATATTTTAACGAATTGTAGCTATTGTGAACTTGACTAGGAGATATGTTGCCGATCGGACCAAATGTATTTAATTGAGGACAGTCTAGCGATAAAAAAAATTGATAGACATGTCGCAGATATGCTAATGTTTGATCTTTCTTATATTTTATAAATGTAATTTTAAAATAAAGATAGCATTGTTGATTTCAAAGGGGGTTTCTGTCCGATCGAGAAAATAAAAATGGATGCCGGCGAGTAAACATTGGGGTGGACCGACTTAAATTTTTACCTGGGGTAGGAGGCTTCAAGTTCAAGTGAATAAAACATTATACACAGCAAAATAATTAAACAAATAATTTGTAGGCTTATCTTGACAATGAGATTGTGAAGCATTTATTAAAACTCAATGAAACGTATTTCTGAGTTAGAATTGTTTCAATATTATTTCATCTTAGACTCACTAGTACTACCGGTACCTATAAGGCCTATTGAAATGGACTCGCCCAGTTCTCTCAATATTTAGTCTTTATATTACACCTATGAATACTTAAAACAATGTTGTATGCTCTCTAAGTTTAATTGTTCATTCCACAGCGGAGAAACCTATGATGACCCTGGGTGCAACATTGTGGCTAGAGTTGACAATTGCTATTGATAATGCACTTATCAAGCTACTGGGGAATAAGACCAACAAGCATATTACAAATTGGTTACAGAAGCTTACCCAGTCACCCCCCAGTTGATAGACCAGGCATTTCCCTGACAATTTAATTAAAATTTATGCTTAATTGATTTATATTTTTGACAATACTCTGCATTGATATTTTTTTTATTAGTCTTTTAATTAATAGTAAACACATCTGACATCATATTCCTTTGATTTTATCACAATTAAGTAAAATGCATTTTCTAATCACATTTTTTAAACCTTCATTTAAAAAAAAAAACGCTAAGTGAGTACTTTTAGACTTATTTTAGTGCCTTTAAGTGTTTATTGATGATGTTAAGGCATACTGCATGTTGTTCTGCTTAAAATTATCTTTAATTTGATGTATGAAATATTTATGTAAGTCAATAACAGAAATTTTAACAAATTTTTTAAAATGTGTATTTTTACACCTCTCCAGTCGGAAAATAAAAAGGACTAAAAATCAATATTGTTATTTTTTATTTTATAATAACTTAAGAATTAATAGATCTGGCTGCTTGAAAAAAATTGGGCTTAAATATTGTAAACTTTGGAGCACATACACCAATTCCTGGACTTCTCTGTTGATTATGTTAGAAAATATAGGTCCTTAAACATGGGACTTTTTCACAAGGTAAAAAAATCCATTTTTGGTCGATTTTCAGCAAATTTGAAAATCGCATAACTTTTTTGTTTATTGAGATAACTACATGAAATAAGTGGCCTATATCTTAGAATAAAAAGTTCTGTCAGGTGAAACTCACCACATATGTCTGCTATGTATAGAAAATTTTAGTTTGGACTACCTATTATTAGCATTTATGAACAACCAGATGTTGGAAATAAAAGATGGTGTCATAGCTGAAGATTTTTTTTTATTTTACTTAAAATTGTTTCTTTAAAGAAAAAAAACTCATTACCTCATCAAATTCTTCAGTCATTTTCCTAATGATCTCAGCATGCTCCATATTAGCATACATGTATGGAGTGATTTTGCCCTTACATCCTGAACACTGTATGAAAAACTGGATGAGCTCAAGTAGTGCAGTATTTCTTTCAATTTTGTACCCCTCGATCCATTCATCAACAACAGTCTAGAGAAAAATGTATAATTGGGAGAAACTTAGATATTAAATTTACATTAGTGGTGTAGGAAGATGTGGCGGTGTTTAGGACAGCATTTTTGGACAATTTCATATACAATTTTGGCCTATTTTTGATGTATATTTTTTAAATTTAGGGAACTTTGTAATGAGGGGCGGCAAACTCTAACTACCCCATCACCATTCGTGGCCCATGTAGGGCCCTGGCTTTTTCCACCACAACCTTCCATTGGATCGATTCATGGCTTTCCGCCCCCATGTGCGGGACAGCAGTTGGTGTAAGACCTCTACATCGTCAATCTATCTCAGTTTTGGTTGACCGGTGAGCCGCCTGCCTCTAGATCACTCTGGCTGCTCTACAATCTGACATTATCTCAAGTGTACTGTCCAGCGCATTACCATATATTTTGTCTTTGCCTTCTTTTAGCTCAAGACTAGCTTGTATTGAGGGATTTTCAAGTTCCTTGAATGCTCTAATTATATCATAGCTGTTTCTGCTCAGTAGCGCTGTGCCATCAAGATAAGCCAGGTACTGCAATAGTTGATGTTGCATTCATAGAATATCTCCATGGGACATCTGACTGTAAAGATCTAACTACCCCACTGCTCTATATATTTCTTATCCATTACCCCTAAAATATTTCTTACCTGCAATGAAGCCTTTCCGGTCTTCACTGCTTCAAAAAGACTCCCGTCTCCACTATCTAAAGATATATGTTGTGCTTTCTTTGCTTTTGCAGCTGCTGTTTCTGCTTTCTTCCGCTTTGCTGGCTGAAAAAAAAAAACAACAAACAAACTAGATTAATAATAATTTAAAGGCAGTGTCTACACATCCGGCGACCGGACAGATAGTGCGGGAGATATTCTTCCGGTGGGCATGTCACGTAACAAGACGCCGCAGGCAAATTTTAAAAAAAAATCCCTTATCTTGTTTTATTATCTTATAACGCTCTACCTAAAAGGGTAAATTTAAAATATGAACCAAAGAAAATAAGACCAATACTTGCCAGTTGACTGTCAATAGACCTGCTGTCAAAAAAAGTTTTATTTTAGGCTATTAATATTGCGTGAGAAATAGGCTACCCAACAGCACACTTTATTGGCCCTATATTAGCTCTTTCGATGCGGAACAACGCACACTGCGTTATTCCGCCATTCTCCAAAGCACGCACCAACGCGCTGTGCGTCGTTTCAATATCATGTTTGTTTCTTTGCTATTTCTCTAAGAGCTATTTTTAAATAAGACTTTTATATAGAAGAGTGGTACTTCATTGTTTTTAAGGGAAACTAAGGTAAATTTTTTGTCATTAGAAGCATTATTTTGACTATTTTCTTCGCGTTTCTTTTCCTACTGTTGCTATGGCTACCCTAGTAGGTAAGTTTCCTAGAGGATTAACAGTTAAAAAAACTTTGGGATTATGTTATACTATTTCTTTTGATAGCGAAGATGATTTATATTTAGATGCATCGCATGATTCCAATAGTAGTAGTTTTAGAGGAATTGAGTTATAGAAGTGAAGATGAAGTATGCGTACCGGTACATCATAGGGTATGGGTAAAAATGGTTCAGCATAATATGTTTTCACATTTTTGGTTCTTTTCTGTAACTTATGTTATTTAAAGTGAAGAAATAAGTGTTCAAACATATAGTCCTTTCAATTACCTTTGATTTGATACCAAGTTTAGTCGTATAAAACAAAGAATAATATTTTAAATATTTTTTAATAAACCCAACCTCTCACTCTTTTTCCGCTCTTTGAAAAAATTGTACATTTTTTATTAAAAATTCAGCAGTGAAAGAGTTAAGATGTAGGGTCTATTTCTTTGTGACCTTTCGGCCTCCCTGCCTCAATTATATATCACCCTGACTATCATTTTTCTCTTTCACTCTCAGTATTTTTTACTTTTAGTATGCATTGCTTCCCCCCCCCCCCCCCCTGGAAATGAAGTGTATACTCGTCACCCCCATGCATCTCCAACACCAGTTTTATGATTAACTATTAGCGGTCATGTGACAAGGCTGACAGATATTTCACCCACCTTTGTTACGGTGGTCATGTGACCTGGTTGGCGGACGAATATCTCAAGAACTTATTAGTCCGGTCGCCGGACATGTAGACACTTCTTAATTTAAAACAAAGTTAATTCTTTAAGTATGCCAATAATCACACAAAAAAATACAATTTGAAAGTGATGACAAGAAAATATAAGAAATTAACATTTACTGGTGCAGAGTCATCCTTTTTCTTTCTTTTCCCTTTAACTTTTGGCTCTTCAAAGTCACTGTCTGAGTCATTACCTTGGTTCCTAAACAGAATCATAAAAATTTCAAAACAATGAATATCTAAATATTTTTTTTTTTATCTCTTCTAATGTTGTGGTAAACAATTTTTTTTCAGAATAAGACAAAAAAATAATAAAACCCTGGTTTATAAGACTTCTAGTTTAAAATTTAGGCTTAAGTATCTTTTATTTTGGTGAAGAACTTTCGTTTTCCATTTAATCTCTATCATAAAGGTGGAGCAAACAATTTTCTTATGCTAGAAATGCTTGGTTTATAAGTTTTAATTTTTATTTAAAAGAATATTACAGTGATATTTCAGAGGCCTGCTCAGACTCATCAAGTTCTGCCACTGGCTGCTGCTTGGTAGCACGACGAGGACGCCCAGCAGGCATGATAATTTGATACCTTCTTTTAAACTCTTTTATCTGTGACAAAAACATGGATAATCAATGACAAAATTTTAAATAAGACAAGAATAACTTTATTAAATACAAAGATTGAAATGGAATGTTTTGGCCCAGAGTTAAGCATCAGCAGCATTAGTCAATGAGGGGCGTGTAAAACCAACATTTTACATTTACCAGACATTGCAATAACTTTGGAACGAGCTGTGTGTACCCGCACGCAATTAATGGCTGCCACCTGTTTGTTAATGCTATTAACAGCACTAGAGCTGTGGTCCACAGTGTGGATGCGCCCATGCCCATTTTGAAGTAGTCTTGCCATATCCAAGTTCCAGATATATTTATATTAATTAAATTAACAGTAATATTAGTAATAACTTTATTGAGTAAAAATGTACTGCACTGTCACCCTAAAACTTAAATAGGCCTGATGAAAGAACCACTGAAGTTTCTTCCAATATCTAGGTGTGGTTGCTGTGAGTAGATATTTCGATGAAACAAGGGAGACTATAATACTTTTTGTGTATCGGAAATAGAAATCGGCGCAGAAAAATCCGAGTTTTTAATTTTCCGATGTGTGTGTCTATTTATTATTAAATTAGTACTTTCGATATATATTTGAGTTCCGTTTTCGGCCTTATAATTAGGTAGACATCTTGGCCTACATTTTAATCAATTTCTTTTTCATTTACAATCAGTCAGCTTTGAGAAAATCCTTGGTAAATATAAGGCAACTTTCATCATTAAAATTAAGTCGAAGGAAAAGATTTGTCACTACCAAATTTTTTTTGCATCTGGGGAATGTATCGATCTATATGTATGCCAATTTTCACAGCGATAAGTGTCTTACGATAGACGTCATGTTTCTACACGTTCGCAGCAGGTCATGCAGTTCGCTCAACCTAATTTCGCCATGGGGTGGGCCATGGCCCCTTTTTAATGGCGGAAGTTGCCGATACTTTTTATTACCACTATTTACATCAAAATATTTGATAACTTGTGTTTCAGAATGCATTTTGAAGACATTTAAACTGGAATGTTTTAATTTGAGCTTTAACAACCCGGTAGAATCCATATTATAAATTATCAGAATTTACCGTGTGCAACACGTTGTCATTGGCAACCATTCACAGCCACTTGCATAACTGTATCGTAGTACTACCTCAGAGTTTCATTCATAAGAGTTTGCCGTGTGCAAAAACTATTAAACCATTGGTCAGGGTTTCGAAATTAATTAATAAGTACACGGTTTCAACTTTCAAATTTGAAAGTCGACCCTAAACAGTATTTTAGTGATAAGGCGATGCGTTGCCTTATATAAAGTATATAGTCATTGCGCATGACGCGATCAGCGGAATGAGGTCACAAGATGTGGAGGTTTCGTCCATAGTAAAAAATACCAAACGAACTCACACTTTACAAATTCAAAGCTCAAAAAGTACTTAAGCTAAAAAGTTGATTCTGGTTTCATTTTTTTTATTTGCTCTAACTGTGTTATTAAAAAAATTATTTCAATTTTGTTAAATTTTGTATTCAAGTGCCTACTCAAGTTTCAAGCCTACTGTGACTGTGAGCATGCTGAAGTAGCATGGATACAAGCGCTATATAAATATTCAATTCAATATAATATAGGCCTACTAATAAACCACAACTAAAACTAGTAGTGTAGTAGCCTACTTATACTTACTAATACTAGTAAATTTTAATTAATAAATAATTATCTTGATTTGATTAGTCAGTACACTGTGTTATTGTTGTCACTTCTTTGAAGACGCCATTTTATTTTTACAAGATAACTATCTGAATACTTATGGTATTAAATAATATTATTTTAAATTCAACATCTCCAAGGCTTGCGATATTTTGAAATAATGTGCAGTTTCCATAGGCCTCCGTGATGCATGTACCTTTTTTTCTTGCTGGCGGGAATAGGCGATTGTTTGCTTTCGACTTTCATCTAAGAGTCAAGTAATAGTAAACATCCGATGCCGGATAATTTACACTGCTACTGTGTAATTTTGTACAATAAATTGAGATTTCCCGTTTGTTATGCTTTGTAAATTAATTGAATAATAATTTAATATATTTACAGTTTTAAATAAATTATTAGTTTAATATAATCGCTTACATATTATTTATTAGTAATATTTGTTTACATTTTTTTGTAACTCATTAAATGCCAATCTGGCCGTGTCAAATTATAATAAACAATTCATGCTACTGAAAAAGGATATTTTTATCTGCTTATGCTAAGTCTTAGACTGTGTTACGCGCACATGTCATAAGTGTGCTAAAATAACATTTTGGAAAAAATTATATGCACAAAAAAAATGCTTTCTAAATTAATTTAATAGTTATAATCATAAGGCTGCATTTATCATTAATTGATCTGTTATATTTATTGTACTCATTTTTTAAAAATATAAACCAATGTATATGCCAGGATGGTCTATATTACAAAAGACATTGCCTCAAAGTTTTGGGCAATAATGTTTTAGTTAAATATTTTAAAAAAAATATTGACAGTACCAAATTTAATTTTCATTGAATTTTAACCCTTAGTATCTAATATAATTTGGCTTTTTAATAGTATTTTATAAAATAATGTTTATTCTAAAAAAAAGGGGTATTAACAAACAATTGCCAATTGTGCCTGGCATTGTTATTTACCTATTTTATATTTAGCTATTTCCTCGTTTTTTGGGGGGGCCTAAACAATTAAAACCAACATTCTATTTTTTGTTTAGGTCCTTTATTATCAAACGTAAACATCCTCACAAAAAATTTCCTTAAATATTTAATGAAATCTAGGCTAATCAGTATTTTTTGGTTCAAGTAACTACTTGTTTTAAGACAACTATCTGAGCAGGTAACTTACATTTTTCTTTCGACAAGAGATTAGTGAAAGTGTTAAGTTTACTAGTTTAGTGAATGAGAATGATTGTATTAGCCAATTTTGGATCTGAATCAGATCAGATAGAGATTTTGGTAATCTGCCACTTAAGTTTCGGTTATGAAAAAAAACGTGTTGTTGCAATTTGAAGTGCCATTTATAAATAAGGTTATCATTTTATTGATGTCCAATGCCAATATTCATATGGACAGTAGATACTTAACTTCATCTAAGTAGATACTTTGATAACAAAATTAAAACTTAAAAAAAAAATAAACCAATGACATAGTTGAATAGAGCTAATTTTTAAAAGAATTATAATACCAAAATCATATTTTTAGCTGTTGTAGTTTTAAAGTTATGAATTTTTAAAGTACGACTTAATTTGTCCTTTTTTAACATGGACCCCATCTCCACATTCTGTGACCCAATTCCGCTGTTCGCGTCACGAGCTATATAACTCTTGTTTTAATGATAATTTTATTTTCAGAACTAATGCTGTATTAAAAAAATAAGTTAAATAATGTTAACAATTATAGATAAATTGTAGCTTATCTAACTATGCATTATTTCTATCAGTAAATTTAATATAATGTATTAATCTATGGCTTTTCTGTTTACCAAATCTACGACGTCCTTTATACCAATATTTGTTATATAAACTATATAGTCTATATATTATAAGGCAACTCATGCCCTAATTACGAAAATACTGTTTGGGAACTATTGAACTTTCAACTTTGTTACATGACTAATTAATTAAAGCTTTCCCTGACCTAGTTGAATAGTTTTTGCACACGGAAAACTTTTATGAATGAAATCTCTGAGATAGTAGTAAATAATAGCCCTTATGCAAGTCACTGTGAATGGCTGCCATGACATTTTGCACACGGCGAATTTTGATCATGTATAATATGGACTCTACCGGGTTTTTTAACCTCAAATTAAAATATTATTCTTTCAATAACATTTAAATTCATTCTAAAACATAAGTTATCAAATATTTTGATGTAAATAGTGGAAATAATTAAATATTTCCTAAGTAACGGCGTCTTCCGCCACTGAAAGGGGGCGTGGCCACTTCCTTATCGAAATTGGGCTGAGCTACATTACCATATAGGGGTTCACTCAAGTGAGCATAACAAGTGATCGACATGTCCTAACTCAATGAGAATTGACACAAATACACATCGATAGATAATACAGAATAAGACTTTTTTTTAAAGACATAAAAGTTGAACTTCTATACGAATTTTATAGTGAAAGATGCCTTATATTTACAGGGGAATCTCAAAATACAGGTCGATTGAAAATTTTTTAAAAAAGCAATGTAAATGTAGGCCAACATGTCTACCTAATTATAAGGCCGGAAACGGAACTCAAATATATATAGAAAGCACTCATTTAATAATAAATAGACACACACATCGGAAAATTAAAAACTCGGATTTTTCGGCGCCGATTGCCATTTCCGATACACAAAAAGTAGTAGCCTCCCTTGGTTTACCGAAGTATCTAATCTAAGCAAGGGACACTCCCAGAAAATAACAAAATTTGTATCCGAAATGGGCGTCTGCCCAATAGAATACGAGTTTTTAATTTTTTTTATATGCATGTAATTTTAATAATACACAGGAGTCTTTTTGGTCCATAATTTCGGTCTGACTCCGCCAATTCACATTAGGAGAAATATTGACCTACATTCCCATGGAGTTTTTTTGTTCTTTATATCAACTTCAAGTGAGGAAAATCGTATGTCAATAAGGCATCTTTCTCCCAAAATTTTTGTAAGAAATTTGAAGATCATGTCTTTCATGCTAAATTCTGAAAAACACAATATATTGATGTATTTGTATGCAAATTCTCATTGATGTAGGTCATGTCCAACGTTTGCTAAGCATGTCCAAGTAACCTGCATTACCATAAGGTCGCTCAGCCTAATTTCGACATGGTGTTGGCCACACCCCCTTTTTAATGGCGGAAGTTGCCGATACTTAACTTAGGAAATATTTAATTATTACCACTATTTACATCAAAATATTTGATAACTTATGTTTCAGAATGCATTTTGAATACATTTAAACAGGAATGTTTTAATTTGAGCTTTAAAAACCCTGTACAGTCCATATTATAAATGATCAGAATTTACCGTGTGCAACACGTTGTCATTGGCAACCATTCCCAACCACTTGCATAGTGGCTGTATCGTAGTATTACCTCAGAGTTTCATTCATAATAGTTTGCCGTGTGAAAAAACTACTATACCATTGGTCAGTGAAAGCTTTAATTAATTATTCATGTGCCAAAGTTGAAAGTTTAAAATAAGTCGACCCTAATCAGTATTTTAGTGACAAGGGAATGCTTGCCTTATATAAACTATATAGCCATTGCGCAAGACGCGAGGTTTCATCCATAGTAAAAAATACCAAACGAACTCACACGTTAAAAATTCATTGCTCAAAAAGTACTTAAGCTAAAAAGTTGATTCTGGTTTCATTTTTTTTAAAATTTGAAATTTGCTCTAAATAACTGTAATGTCAAAAAAATTATTTTGAATTTTTAAATTTTTAACTAAAGTATCTACCGCGGAGAGGGCCACCGGGTTTTCAGCGGCATAGGCATAGGTAAAATTATTTAGTGATTTAAATTTATCTATTTTAAAAATGTGTTCTTCTTTATATGAATATTCACTGAAATTAATTTGTACAATTTCATAAGAAACATTTCCATTTATTTGGATCCATAAAAGAATTTCATCTTGTCAATAAAACAATATTGGCAATAACCCTTTAAATTTAAATAATCAAGGCAGTGTCTACACGTCCGGCGCGCCACACGTCCGGCGCGCCACACGTATATCTCCCGCAATATTTGTCTGGCGACCAAGTCACATGACCGTCGGAAGAATACTTTATCGAGATATTCGTCCGGTGACCATGTCACATGACTGCCGTAAAAAAGTGGCGCAAGATATTTGTCTGTCAGCTTTGTCATGTGACCGTGAATGATTCAAAACTATTGTTTATTTTTAAATCTATTTCTCTACCAAGTAATTTACTGAGTATCTTGCAAACAAATAATAGAATATAGAATAATAAAAGTGGGGGTTAAGCAATAATGCATTCTAAAAGGAAGCAATGCTGAGAGGGAGAGAGAGTTACGGTAATAAAAAAATATGAATGCTAGAAAAATAATAGTGAGGAATGGTTCACAAGGAAATAGACCCTACATCTTAATACAGAACCGATATAGTGGTAGCCTAGCCTACTTCTCATGCAATACTAAATACTAATCCTGAAATACAACTAATTGACATAGGTCTTTGAAGAGTTGCAATCAAATAGATTAGTAATAGTAGTAGTAATAATAGTAGGTCTACTACTAGTTAGTATATAGGCCAACTAGTTTAATATTCAAAGTCAAACACTATATGTATCTCAAAGCATTTGAATATATTGACATGTTTAGCATTTATTTATTATCTAGGGATCAGCTGACTAATATAATATGTACTAACTAACTAACTAACTTAAGAAAATCAGCGAACACAGAGCCTTGAGGCTCATATGGTCCTCCCCAACGCACCACCCCGCCAACCAAACCGGCCGTCAACCACTCCCCCAGTGGTCTTTATTCCGATCGGGCCGCGAAGCGGCACGCCAGGGACGCTCCGCCCCTAAGATTCAACCACTCCCCCAGTGGTCTTTATTCCGATCGGGCCGCGAAGCGGCACGCCAGGGACGCTCCGCCCCTAAGACCGCCACACCCGACCTCCACTCGATTGGCCGCTGAGTGTGGCAGCCCCAGAGAAGAAACACCTGGCCAGCCGGATTGCTGCTCACGCAGCAACAGGGCCGGACTTTCTAAGGGGTTGGGGTGGATATTTAACGTCTCTAAAGTCCCCCCTTACCACCCCGGGGGGACCGCGTAGTTGTCTCAATATTGGAATATCAAATGCAATGCAACTATTTTGCCTGATTTTTTCATCAGTGACACTCAGTAGTAGATTACCAAGATTTTTTAGTCTTCTGTATTAGTAATTAGTCTTACTAATCTTAACTTAGGTTTAGCACTTTGGCCTAAAGACTAACAATATGCACAAGCCTAAGCCTAATAGTTTATTTTTTTATAATATTAATTATTTATTCATTCAGTGATTGTTGATTAATTCTGTCAAATCTTAAATTGACTTTGAATCATTTTAGTAAATTTACGCAATCCGAACTTTTCATTTCACCTTGTTTTTTTGCACTACTTTTTAAATTTTTTTTATATCACTGGCGCCATCTTTGTTGCCATGACAACAGACATATCTGAGCAAGAAAGGTGGCGACTGTGTAAAAAAATAATTTAACTCTCGTAACAATCCAAGAATAACAAAAGGGAGATAATCCTACACAGAAACAGAGTGGAAGAGATTGCATAAATTAACATATTGTTTCCGTTCACATTATCAATTTTTCATCAAATTTCTTTTTGAATGCACTATACTATATAGTTAAACAAAATAATGTGTTCAAAAAGAAATTTGATGAAAGTTTGATTGTGTGAACTGAAAAAACTTCCATTCGATCAAATTTCAGTTCGATCAAACTTCCGTAGATCAATTTTCCATCTACAAAATTTCTTTCAAACAAATTTCCGGATAAACCTAAAATGGGTAGATGTGAGTTGTTACTATGCCATGGGACTTAAGCCGTTTGGCAAAGTTATCTGTAGGTTTGGTTGTCTATGTGCTCATGTGTACTTATGGTCACTTGTCAGTGGGTTCCCTTTTCATGTGTTTAAATGTCTTATGGTCACTTTTCCCATGTTAAATTGTCTTGAAATCCCCTCCCACAATCCTTCAAGGGAACATCATCTGTTACTGTTATGCATAACGCACTGGGGGGGGGGCTCAATGCCAAGTATCTGTGTCATTATAATACAACTATCCACCAAAGATTGTCAATACATATACAAAGCTGGAAATCCATTAGAGAAGAGAAGAAAAACTGGAGGTTTATCATTTTAAACACTTAAAAAAAATAAAAAATCTTACCTTGTTCCTATTACACAAATTTATGAGTCTGTGTAAGGGGGGTGTGAAGGGTGGAAGTTGCACCATCAGTTAATACTTCATCGAATGACCCTGCTTGTAAGCTGACACCTCTGAGTCTGTCTTAAGTGCATATTTTTTTTACCTTACTTTTACCATATGAAAATTGCTTTTTACCTGAGATTGAGTTGTGCTCATGGCTAAAAATTCTGTCTTTTGATTGGTAAGAAATAAAAACAATGTTAACAACTTCTTACAGCTATGTAACAAATATTACCTCATTGAAGTACAAGTATGCAATTGATTTCAATCCAGTTGCCATTTCACTATACATTTCACATAACCAAATTTCCATTCTATGATACCCGTATAGTGAATAGGAGATTATTTTTAGAAAAAATTATTTTGCTATGTTAATTTGTCATTGAATTGCGTGGCCGCGCAGCTATCTCACAGACGCTGTGCTGCAGTTTTGAGTACGGCGCAGCAAATTTCGATATCAGTTTGTGGGCTGTAAAATTTTGCGCACAAAAAAATTGATGCTGTAAAACTTTGCACACGAACTAACAAACCTTAGAGGGAACATTGATTGCAACAAGAAGAATTAAGTACGAAGGATAAAAAAAACTAACGCAATGAGTGGCTAAAAGTGTTTAAGTCATGATAAATTACTACCAACTGAAAACTTTATTGTATTTTTATTATATATTATATTATATTTGTTATATTTCAGCTCGAATGAACATCTTGCATTATGTCACTAAGCAACAGGAGATCTCTCCTAAGTTGAAGAAACTTAAGAGCCTTTGTGATGCAGAGTCTGGTGAAGCTGAATCTGCAAATGGAGACCAGAAGTCAGAAAATGGATCAACTGCTGGGTCAGGATCAGTCTATGCAAAAGAGGAACTGGAAAAACGACTAAGTCCTGCTCAGTATCGGGTAACCCAGCAACTAGGAACAGAAAAGTGAGTGAATTTTAATATTTATGTGAATACTTTATTTAATAGAAATAAAAGAGTAAATTTGGCAAGTTTTAAGTTCATTTTAGTGTTAATTAATTTTTTTCTTTAGATTTTTTATAATCATCAAATTTATGTTATTTTTTCCTTAAAAAGCTTAATAAAAAGCAAAGTTTACACAGCTTTGCTAAAATGATGATTGAAATATAATTTTCAGACCATTCTCTGGCAAATATGTCAAGTGGAAAGAAGAGGGAGTCTTCAACTGCATAGTCTGTGGATCAGCTCTCTTTACGTCTGATACTAAATTTGATTCAGGATCAGGCTGGCCTGCATTCTATGATGTGATATCAAAGGGAAAGGTGCTTCTTAAAGAAGAAAACATAGGAGGTTGGTTATATTTTAAAACCACTTCCGTTATCATTAACTCTTTCGCTGTGGTGCAATGCACAGTACGTTCATTTGCCGTGCTAAGAAGCACGGACGAACGGCTGTGCATTGTTTCAATATCATGGTTGTTCCTTTGCTATTTCTCGGTTAAACATTTTAAGAGCTATTTTTTACTAAGACTTTTACATAGAAGAATGGTACTTCATTATTTATGAGCGAAAACAAGGTTAATTTGTTGTCATTTTAAGCATTATTTATTTATTTTTTCGCTGTTTTTCTTTTCTTTATCAATACTGTTGCTATGGCTACCCTAGCCCTTAGTCGGGTGATTAAGTTTCCTAGACATCATCATGTCCTTGGACCGTTGGGGCGCCACAGATGACATGTGAACTATCCTCCTCCAGTGGTCTCTGTCTTCTGCACTACACACATCATCGCCCAGTGTTAGTCCTGTCCACTCTTTGATGTTATCCTCCCACCTTTTTCTTTGTCTTCCTCTTCTTCTCCCTTCTTTTGTGGTGCCCTGCAATATTTCTTTGGCAAGGCCTTGTTTCCTTGTTACGTGGCCATACCATTGTAGTTTGCATTTTTTCTCAGTTACTAGACTGTATAAATATAGATATATATACACACACATGTATAATATATATTCATACATATATGTATCTTAAATTGATCTCCACCTATTGATATTATTCCTGGCATGAATGACAAATTCAACATTGAATTCCATGTACTAATTAATCCCTTAGATTAGTAGAGACCGACAAAGTTGATGTTCTGATTATGACCAAAACCAAAAGCTTAATGAGACTTTTGACCGAAGCAGAAACTGAAATATTCAGATATTTTGAAATTAGTTCACACATAAATTCTACATACATCGAAAATGATGGGGGAAAGTATCAATATTTACAGTCTTTTTATAAAAAATGAGATCATCGTGAATATGTTTACCATTTGCGACCTGCAAGACAACATTTTGCAGCCCACTACATGACAGCAAAGTTTAGTGTTAATGCAGCTGGCACATTTTCCCCATTCTCATATCTATAATGTGACCCTTCGCGACGGTTTCAGTTGAACTTCACAGACTAGTCTAATGCTGATTTTTTTTTTATGTTTGTATATATTTGTATGTTGATTATAATGGTGAGAACCTTTTTAAAATCGGACTAAAAGTTTTTATTTTATAGCATTTTATGAGGCAAACATGGTCAAATTGTGGTTTTGAGAAAAGTTTAAAAGGTCAGTTTGTGGGTAATGCACAACCATAAGGATCCCTATTAACATTGCCGCTAGTGTTTACGAGTCAGGGAAAATCCGATCCTGTCTGCTTGGTCACTTTCAAAATGGGGTCAAAAAGGTCTTTTCTAGGATAAAAAATTCCAATTTTTTTCTCCCTACTTTAGCATCTTCCTTCGCATAAATAATTAATAAATATGGCCTTCTGCTTCCTACCGTTTGAATATGTTTTAGTCTTTAAAGCCTTCATGGAGAATGATGGGGTGGTTGTTCCTGTACTAAGTGATCCAAAATGGCTCATGGACTTGGCTTTTCTTTTTGACATTACACATGAGCTGAATGTACTCAACAAGAAGTTGCAAGACCAGTGGTAGCTTGTCAGTGTTGCCTATGACAGTGTCAGGGCATTCTGCTCATAATTGTGTTATGGTTCTTAGAGAAACCTCTGCCATTTCCCAACATTCATAGTACTCATTGACTTGGGCGCACCATTTAGTAGTAAGTATATTGATGACATTGCAAAGCTACTGGAAGAATTTGATCACATTTTTTAGATTTCAAAACACATACAGCCACTTTTCAGCTTTTTGCTGACTCTTTCTCCTTTAATGTGGAAGATGCCTCCCACCTCCTTTTTTTGCACTTCAAATGGAGCTGATTGATCTTCAGTAAAATTCTAAGTTCAGGGAGGTTAATGGACATTTTATGAGAGCATTTCCCTTCACCTTCTCTGACATTTCCAGGTTGTTCAAGCGAATCATATGTCTTTTTGGGAGTACCTATCTGTGTGAAAAGCTCTTTTCCACTATGAACTTTAAAAAATTCAGGGCCAAACTCACTGATGAGCATCTTCAAACTATACTGAAGGTCTCAGTTGCTTCCTCACTCAAGCCAAATGTTGCTTAGATGTGTAAGAAGAAGCGCTGCCAGATCTATGGCAACAATAATCTGCATGGTTTGAAAGGGTTTTTAATTATTTTATGTGCATTAATTGAGTTACTGTTAACTATGAAAACTTGTTTTTGCATACAGGTCTTCAAAGGATGGAAGTCAAGTGCAGAGAGTGCAACTCACATTTGGGACATGTGTTTGATGATGGTCCTAAGCCAACAGGAATTAGGTATTGTGTCAACTCTTGTTCTCTTGACTTTCGTAAGCATACAACTGTTTAATCATCCAGTCAATGCTGAAAAGTAACTTGAACTTATTTATAATATTGATGGAGGCAAAGTAGTACCACTGTATTCTATGAGACTTCAATGAAGGTTTTTTTTTTTTTTTACACTTCAAATTTTTAAAAGAGCTACACCATCTTTACTTCAAAAGGAAATGTAATAAATAGTGTTGTATTATTGATGAGCTCTGCACACACATAAAACTTAGCTTTCTCAATTTTTAAATATTTATTTGAACATCAAAGGTAATAAGGCAGCAGGCACTAAAGATACAAATGTTGCTTGCTTTTAAACTGACTTTTAAAATCTCTATATTTGTCCCCCCCTAAATTTAATGCTTGATCCATGATTACTATAGGAAATCAATTTTATATCTGATCTTGTACACCGCAGTTTAGTCTCTTGTGCGATTTTTGTTTTGTTTTTAAGGTCTATAAACTGTTAAAGTGTTCAGTTGCAATATTTGTTATTTTTACCTTTTTGTTACTTTTGAAACATGATCATTATTGTTAAAAGGTTCACCTTGTATTTGGTACACAGCATTAGTTATTTCACCCGTTTTATACAGTATTCAACATTTTAAAATAAAAACTGCTTGTATTTAACTGAAATGAAACTTTTGATAAATGCCTGGCAACAGTGTGGTCACATGAACGTTACTTCTTTTTAAAAAGGGATGCAGGATACTGTAATTACTATTATTGTTATAATTTAAAAAAAATAAGAACACAATATTTTTTATTTCAATGAGTCTTGTTTTGTCAAAATTTTGTTTTATTTTTATGCACATATTAGTCACTTAGAAATATTACTCTTAGTTAATGCTTTAATGAGTTTATACTAATAGCAACTTGTGTAATAGTGTATGAAAGGTAACTTATACTTGAAAATGCCAGCTGTTGCTTTCATTATTATGTACATAGCTGAGCTTCACAAGTATGCTACGGTTTAATCCGTTAAGTTTAGTCTGTTTAAGATTAGGTCCACTATGGAAAGAAAGAAGAAGAAACCTTATCCGTGGACTAGAGGTAACACAGGTTCAACTCTTCTGGAGTGTTAAAAAGAGAAAAGATTTGATCATTGTGTTAATTGATGTGTGTTATCATAATCTTGCATAAACTGTATTTGCTTGGGGAAAATGTTGTGTTTCTGCATTAATATTAAATAAGTTAAATACCCAATGGTGCTATGCAATAAAAGGCTTTCATCAATTACTGTTACAATAGAGGAGATGCTTTAGGAAATGTTAATTTTTTATTCAAGTCCCAACATAAGGGTTTATGGGGTAGTCAGTGCTGATAAAATCTAGACTGCCCATCCAATAATTTACTTGTTCATCTGGGCTCTACTGGACAACGAACTGAAACTGATTGTGAAAACCCAACAGCACATCATAGTAAAGGAGAAAGTATTGTTTCAGCCCTGAAACAGGGATAGTATTTTTAAAATTGTTTTGGGTGAACTCTAGACCTTAAACGAGCTAAACTAAGATTTATTAGTATTGCACCAGCAAAAGGTTCTTTGATCAATAATAAAATATAAACTTGGACCCTGCACATAGTGAAAAATGTCCATCCGGTAGAGCCCATCCTTAGTATAAACATGCTATCAATTTTTGTTTATTTAAATTAATCTTAATTTTTAAAATAATCAATTCACAGAATATGTTCTTTGTGTAAGGAGTTAAGTTTTTAGAAATAATAGTAAGGTTTGCTTTAAAATGATTGCATTAAAAAATGTTAACCATGTTATGAGAAAATATTAATACTTAACAGTCAACATATCATTTGTTATGTATATCAGTGAGTTCCAAAACTATACTTCTTTATGATATTTACATTTTACTTGGGTCGTTATTGACATTTTCAAAATATGTATAGGATAATAAGGGGGGAGCAAATTATGTACAACTGTATGTGACTGTTGACCATAAGAAGATATATAGGAATCTGACAAGAATGACTAATGTCACAGCATCAGTGTAGATTGGTTTATTATGAGGAACTTTAGTACTATAAATGAAATCTGGAGCAATATAGCAGTGTTGATTAATGATGTATATCAATGGGGTCAATTTTTGCAATGGTTTGACTGTTTCTGGTCAGTTAGTTTTTTTCTGTTGTTGTAATTATTGCAGTGAGTTAAAAACCTTTTTAAAAAACCATGTGATGACCTTAAATAAACATAAGAGCTGGTTTGAATAAAATATTGTCTATATTATGCATTGAATTAACCAGATGTTAAAAATTATATTTAAAAAAAAAAAGTAATTTGCATCGACTGTATTTTTTTGCTAAAATACATCTTTTAATTGGCTGTGAAACATTGGTGGGGTATTTTCAGTTTGAGGTGACATTCAATCAAAGCAATACACAATTTGTATAAAAAGGAAATCAAGTTTCATAAATATTCAATTGCTTGTTCATTAAGTATAAAAGTGATTCATTTTTTTTTTTTTTTTTGGTATACACTTTTCATTATTGCTATGTTATTAATATAAAAATCTGTGTTATACACAATTTGTATAAAAAGGAAATCAAGTTTCATAAATATTCAATTGCTTGTTCATTAAGTATAAAAGTGATTCATTTTTTTTTTTTTTTTTTGGTATACACTTTTCATTATTGCTATGATATTAATATCAAAATCTGTGTTAATTTTTGTATTGGTCCTATTAAAATATTGATGTTTTAGTCACCAGTGTTCAGGGTTTTCTGGGGCCCATGAAGGAGGTATCACGCCGAAAAGAATAAATTTTAAAGGTAAAATAAAAGCGTGAGATAGAGATGTTTAACATTTCCTGAAGTTCTTAATTTGGTTCATTTTCAAAAATCATACTTAACAATCAGTTTTTCCAACTTATCATTGTAAAAAAAAAAAAAAAAAGAATAATTCTATTTGCAGTTTTGAAAGCTGGTGACAAGTAAGTGCCTAGGGCCTTTCCTACAAACAACAAAATCCGGCCCTGCCAGGGATAATTATTAAATTGAAATGAGTCGGCACATTATAGGAAACAATAACCTTCATTTTCAGTTTACTTAAGAAACAAGTCTGAAACGGGTAACAGTAGTTCAAAAGTATACAAAGATAGTGCCTTTACCCTCTCTGGACTCAGACCTTTTAAACTAGACTTATGATTTCTGTAAAACAGATGATTCTTGTAAATATGATACATTATATTGTGATATGTACTTTTTGTTGTTGTCAACTTTAAATGCTGAGCAGTTTGATTATTTTATTTGGTTAAACTAACACTTGATTCATTATTATCTGTTTGGATTAGGTTACACACTGCTTGACAATTGATAGGAGGTGTTGAACATAGTTTGAAATGCTCTCTTTTTATAATTTTATTTTAAAGACTCATTTCTTTTTGTCAAAAAATACATTTAAAAATTGTGATAAATTGTATGAATTTTTTGGAAATATTGTGGTAATCATAATCTTTTTAGTCACTGGAATAGCTGAAAAGCTGTCAGATACAATCTGTTGTAGAAAATTCATTTCAAATGACATTTGTTAAAGAAATTTTGAGATGACAAAAAAAAAAAGGAGAAGAAAAAAATTGTAGATAACAATGAATTTAACAAAATCTCTTTACCTTTTTTAAAAGTCTATATTGTTTGGCATGATCATACCAGCAATATTCGGTCACAAGAAAGTTAAGTCACTCTCTTCATTTTCTCAATGTAAAACCTTTTAGATGCTGATATATTTTATTTTAAATGTGATCATTTAAAAGTAAGTTGATTCTCAATTAATTTTACATGCCATAGCACATCCCTATAACTTGTGATGTCATTTTTGTTAGCTCGTTATAGATGAGATTTTTTTTTTTTTACAGATTGTTTGTATTTTGTGGTTATGGTTTATTAAAAGGTAATGGTAAAATTACTTTGATTTTCTTAAGCTGTGATTACAGGCACTATAATTTATACAACTTTTTTTTTGCCTCTGTAATAATTGCATGTACAGTTAAAATTTTATCAATAATTTAAAAAAAAAACTTTGTGTAAAGTTTTTATGAAAAGTTTTACAAATTTAGGACAATTATAATTCAACATTCATAAATTCATCGTACTGGCTGAAAGCAAATTACAGAAAAAGAAAGACCAAAAAAAAAATCCTACACAGATTTCCAAAGAAACCAGTTCTTTAAAAACTCTAAATGCCAAAATATTGTGTTTCTTTCTTTCCATGGTTTGATGGTTGAAGAATATTATTTTACTCCTTGACATATTGATTTAATTAAATGTGATGTTGCTGCCCAATGAATAGCAGTGTACACCCTCCTATTGAAGGTTACTCTACTTTTTAAGTGGTAATGTAAAAGATGTTAAATGAATTGATTTTCAATTCAGAAATAATGAAGAGCTTATCTAAATGAGCTGATGGTCATAGTGTGATCCTATGGAAAGTATTTTACTCACTAAGGTATTTTTTAACAGTTTTTTTAATATATATTTAAAAATAAAATAGGTTGTCGTAACATGATCAAAACTGTAGGACACACTAAACCATGGATAAACCGAGGCATGCTCAATTATTTCACTGAAAAAACAGTATTTTAAAAAATCAAGTGCATATGACTGTCTGTCCGTCCGTCTGTCCATACGTAACAGCTTGGTTTTTTCTTTTTTCCCCTCTTTTTTTGGGTCTCATTTGAATGTCTCTTTTTAACATTGGTATACACATATTTTTAAAATTTATTTTGGATATCCAGAGCATGGAAAAAAATCCCATGTTTAAAAAAAAAAAAAAGTAGACAATTTTTTTAAAAATATTTTTTGTCCGGATTTAGAAAATTATATCTAAAGAGAGAATAACAAATCAGAAATCCATAGCTGTTTTTTTATTTTTATACATCATGAAATAGATACACATAGCAATAGTGTTGGCTCTTTAAGAAATAGAATAACATTATTTATAGGCTATTGTAAGTGGGAGTGTTAGATTACCACAGTTTTATCATATTGGTAACTGAACTTGAGTCAAGACTAGTACCACTTCACTATAACATACTTTACTTTTAACACAATTATTTTCTGATCACCTTTCACGGTACAACAGTAAAGACAAGAGTTAATTTTCCAAGGACTCTCAAGTTGTAAAAAAAAAATCAAATTATATTTCATTAAATATTTTATAAAAAAATCCATTAGTTAAGATGTAAGAGTGATGTTTGTTTAAACAAGTTCTTTCAAACTAGCTGCTTATTCAACTGCTCGTCAATACCTTCACAGGAGTGCCAGTAAAACTATTTGATCTGTAGCTTCATGTTCATGTACTCATATCACACGCATTAAAAAGTAGAAGTGATTTACGTCAGTAGGCCTACGTATTTCATACCTATAATAAAGAAAATCTTAACATTCATCTTTAAATGATCACATTAAGTAATCTGTGTAGCTTGGTGGTTTGTAGATATTTCAAACATTTTTATTGCTAAAGTTATCCTGCCTTATTTTTTTATTTTAGTGGAAAGCTTGTAGACGGATTTTTGTTTAAAAAAATTTAGGTTATAAATTATAAGATGAAATGTTATTATTTATTTTTTAGTGGAAAGAATGTAGATGATTTTTTTTGTTTAAAACTTTAGGTTATAAATTATAAGATGAAATTTTATTATTTATTTTTTAGTGGAAAGATTGTAGATAGATTTTTGTTTACATTTTTAGGTTATAAATTATAAGATTATAATATATAATTATATTATAGTTTGTTTTTGTGGGGTAAAAATTATGTGCATTTCTCCCCCTGTTTCATAATTTTTGATATTAATAGATTTTGATTTCTCTGACAGTCACTGTAAGATCCTCTTTCTTTAATTTAGGTTGCTGTCAAATATACTTTTCTGTTTGCTAAGCCTGCATCATTCTTCCTTGATGTTGTGTGCAATAATAATTAACAATAAAAAATATTTACAAACAATGTCTGAGTTTTTTTACAAGTTTTTTTATATATATATATATAATTTATTTTAATTTTGAATTCAAGAAGGGGAAGAAAGTAAGATTTTTTTCATGTATCATCAAATCATACACTGTGAACAATAAGCCAGCATGAATTAATAAGAAGTTATATGATCAGATGAGTTAAAAGTTCAAACCATGCTCCAAGATTACAGAACTAATGGAACAAACATTTTACCCCTCTTTTTCTCCTTCCTCCCCTCTTTTGTTTTTCCTTATTCTTTTCGATCCGACTTTTGAACTTTCTCAAAAGTTTCTCCAAATCCCCAAATTATTTCCCAGTTCCCTAGGGCGTCATAAAATCCCAAGACCTGGGGACATGCAATAGAAGAAGCGAAAGAAAGTGTTGACATTGGTTGGTGGCATTGGATATGAACTATCTTTTTTTTTTTTAAAAATGTATTTCATTTCCCCCCCAAAAATTGTAAATAAATTTATAAACAAAGAAACAGTAATTTAATTGGTTGTGTTTACCGCTGTGGATAACTTACTAAACTAAAGTCTGCATTTGCCGCCGTGATTAACTTACCAAACTAAAGGCTGCATGTACCGCTATGGTTAACTAACTGAAATAAGGCTGCATGTATTGCCGTGGTTAACTTAACAAACTAAACTAAAGGTGATTAACTTACTAAACTAAAGGTGATTAACTTACTAAACTAAAGGTGATTAACTTACTGAACTAAAGGTGATTAACTTACCAAACTAAAGGTGATTAACTTACCAAACTAAAGGTGATTAACTTACTAAACTAAAGGTGATTAACTTACCAAACTAAAGGTGATTAACTTACTAAACTAAAAGCAATTAACTTACTAAACTAAAGGTGATTAACTTACTAAACTAAAAGCAATTAACTTACTAAACTAAAGGTGATTAACTTACTAAACTAAAAGCAATTAACTTACTAAACTAAAGGTGATTAACTTACTAAACTAAAAGCAATTAACTTACTAAACTAAAGGTGATTAACTTACTAAACTAAAAGCAATTAACTTACTAAACTAAAGGTGATTAACTTACTAAACTAAAAGCAATTAACTTACTAAACTAAAGGTGATTAACTTACTAAACTAAAAGCAATTAACCTACTAAACTAAAGGTGATTAACTTACTAAACTAAAAGCAATTAACTTACTAAACTAAAGGTGATTAACTTACCAAACTAAAGGCTGCATGTACCGCTATGGTTAACTAACTGAAATAAGGCTGCATGTATTGCCGTGGTTAACTTACCAAACTAAACTAAAGTTGATTAACTTACTAAACTAAAGGTGATTAACTTACTAAACTAAAGGTGATTAACTTACTAAACTAAAGGTGATTAACTTACCAAACTAAAGGTGATTAACTTACCAAACTAAAGGTGATTAACTTACTAAACTAAAGGTGATTAACTTACTAAACTAAAGGTGATTAACTTACTAAACTAAAAGCAATTAACTTACTAAACTAAAGGTGATTACGAAACTAAAGGCGATTAACTTACCAAACTAAAGGTGATTAACTTACCAAACTAAAAGCGATTAACTTGCTAAACTAAAGGTGATTACGAAACTAAAGGCGATTAACTTACCAAACTAAAGGTGATTAACTTACCAAACTAAAAGCGATTAACTTACTAAACTAAAGGTGATTACGAAACTAAAGGCGATTAACTTACCAAACTAAAGGAGATTAAATTACCAAACTAAAGACGATTAATTTACCAAACTAAAGGTGATTTACTTACCAAACTAAAGGTGATTAAATTACAAAACTAAAGGTGATTAACTTACCAAACTAAAGGTGATTAGCTTACCAAAATAAAGGCGATTAACTTACCAACCTAAAGGTGATTAACTTACCAAAGTAAAGGCTATTAACGTACCAAACTAAAGGCTTCATGCATTGCCGTGGTTAACTTATCAATATAGGTTGGTCGGTATACCAACGCCATGCAAGAATGCTGAACCACTTTCATACAAGACTCAGAAAAATCCTCAACATTAAATGGCAGGACAGGGTCCCAGATACTGAGGTACTCACACAGGCAGGTCTCCCCAGCATTTTTAAAATCTTAATCGCTGAGCGGGACATGTTGTGCAAATGTCGGACGACCGTCTGCCCAAAAGAATTTTCTATGGTGAGCTTGAACAAGGAAAGCGGTCTGCTGGCGGGCAGAAGAAACGTTTTAAAGTAAAGACAACATAAAAGCCTCACTGACAGCATTCGACATTAACCCAGACATGTAGGAGGAAAAAGCAAAGGATCGAACATCATGGCGATCCATTTTACACAGGGGCGGTGGGGATGGCCACCCAAGAGGGGATCAGGGACGTCATTTGGGTAGGGCAGGGTGGGGCATTCCCTCCCCCCCCCCAATGTGCAAGTTTTATTGAAATTGCTATGTACCGTGGCGCCTCCAGTAATAAACAACTTAACAAGCCAACCAAGTTTTGGTTTTGCCCCCTCCCTCCCCTTTTTTCCGAAAAAAAACCCCTGAAATGACGCCTCTGGCGGTAATTTTGGCGTTTATAGATAATTTAAATAATTTTCATATGTGTGGAAGAGGTTGCACTTTTGGGAGTTCGCACCGGGCGGCATTGAGATACAGATTAAGTAATATTTTTTATTAAAAAATCTACATATCTTAGAAACATGTAGATGTCATAGTTATTTGTTAAAGGTACTGACTTGTTTTCATAATTATTGTCAATATGTCAGTTGAAATGACACCTTGCTGTAGGACAGTATCTTATCAGTCATCACAGATGTTCATTTCTATGTTGTCCTATCCTACGCAAAGAAATCAAACCTAAGCATAATTTTATCATTTGCTGAAAACCCATTTTTCCTGAGTTTATCAGCGTCGGCCGAGCACACATAGTTGTCGGGCCAGTGAGCACACTGTTCCACAGACATGTCAAAGAGCTGCATGCTTCCCCCAAGTCTGCGTCCCGATTTTTTAGTGCTCGGGTGAATGACGTGGACCTGGCATGAGAAGATGGCGCACTCTGGGAGATTGGAGTCGCAGCTGCCGTGAAAATAGTCCAGGAATATTTCCACGGAGCCACGCTCCCCGAAAACCAACACGGCTCGAACACTGTGGCCAAGGAATTTTAGATACCAAGTTTCACTGACGTCAATCAAGGGGAACCACTCTTCCTGGTCGCTGTTCAAAAGGTTCACAAGAGTTACCTGGTTTACGGGGAAAATGTAGCTGCTGTGAAAGATCAAGCCACGGGGCACGCTTCCTCTCGTGACAACACCTTCATCGTCCTCGTCAGATGAGGATACGGAGCTATCTGACGATTCATCACTGTCTTCTCCTTTTGGTGGGACCTCCGGTGGAATCAGGGTTCCCTTCGAGTTGTGATGTGTTACTTCAAATTTAAACGTGATCGCGTCTTGGGCTGGCAAGAAAAGCTGGTTCTGAAGGATCGCGTACCAATCCAGTGAGACCGACGCCACCTCCAGCCAGCCGAAGTCTCTGTGGCTGGGTAAGTGAAACACCCCCGCCTCATCAGCAACCAGCCAATCTAGACCTGACATCATTTGATCGAGGACGACGATTTTAACTGAGGTCTGGAAAAAATCTGACAAGGGAACATCTCTGCCAACTTGGCACAAATCTAGAGAGATGTCCAGGATGTATTTTTTGGTCTCAAAGAATGGGAAATACGCGCTGGTTCTCAAACAGCAACCGATGTCGGGGCTGTACGTTGTGGTCATCACTTCTCGGCCTGAATTGAGCATCGACGACAAACTTTTGACCTCTAGAAGGTAAACAAGCGGCGTGGTAGAGTTGATTGCCCTGTTTCTTTTCATCCGTGCTCCAATTGATTTGATCTGACCAATATCGAGCTTTGTGTATAAACAGGAGCTCAAATGATCGGTCGGCGTTTCGTCCGTGTCGTTAGTGGTGGCCATTGCATTCTCATCCATGGCGCCCTCAACGGGCGTCTCCTGCACTTGTTGGTCGGTATGGCCAGCGACGTGTTCACCGTTGGTGTTCTGCGGGCAATACAGAAAGGCTAAACTCAAAAACAAAATTGTGGAGTTTGGTAAAAATTTTAAAATAATATGTGCCTCATTACTTATTAAATTGAAATCTGAGGTTCGGATGAGTTCGGTCAAGAATTAATTCTGAATTAAACTGAACACGATTTTTTTTATTACTTTCATGAAACCCGTGTTTCTCCAGTGTGTGGCCCACTTTACAGTTTTATTTTCATCCGTGGCCCCACTGCCCCTGTTATTAATATAGAAAGCCTTGCCCTTTTTATTGACATAAAATTCTTTTTTTAAAGTTTTCGCTGTCCCCCACCCCCCTAAAAAAGGATGTGGCCTCGAAATGCACCACATTGAGATCCGCTGCTTAAAAAAATACAAAAACAAAGATACACATAGCATTGACACAGCCAAAACTATTGTGAATTAAAAATACGAAACTCAAATTGCTTGAAAAAAAGCTTTTTAAATTACCTGTAATTTTTGTTAAAAAACTGCATTCTTCTAATTACCATAGATCTATCTTTTTTTTAATATATTTTTTTAAAAAATAGCAGTTTTCTACATGTGGGTCGCGATCCCTATGGGCGTCGAACCACCCTTACACAGGGGTCACCTAAGACCATTGGAAAACCCTTTTTTATGAAGTAGCAACCAAACTAATTTTAACATAAGGAAATGTATTAGAGGGTCGCGGCATTAGGAAGGTTGAGTTCCGCTGTTGTAAAGGGATATTGACGACTTTTGGGTTACCTTTGTCAGCTGTGCCAGCTTGGACAGTTTGGCTCGTAATATCTCCTCTCGTCTGGCCTTGTTTTCCATGTCTGGTTCGTCTCGTAGGACTGAAAAGACGTGTACAACAAAACTCTGTAATTCCAGTGGAATTACTACAGCAGTGGGTCGATTTTATCCGAACGTTGATTGAACCGAAGCATCGATTATCCGTACTAAATATGTTCAT